GCCCCTCCCCTCTGGCCTGGCAGGCCAGAACAGTACCGGCTTCAGCCAACGGGCTAACCCGCCGCTGGCTTTCTGACTGGCGAATGAGTTGTCGATATGCTTAGCAGCCTGTCGGAGGACGCACTCGGAATTTTCGAGTAAGTCAGCTGAAGTGTGTTCGCCGCATCTACTCAAAGCATCGTAAGATTCAGGGAACGGGTTGACATTCTGGCGACATATGCAGGTGTCCCCACTATGGTGCTGCCGGCAGCTACCGACGCGCAGTTAACCCAGCTCAAATGCAGTTCTGGTTCAGCGTTTCCATCGTCCGGATCAAATGCGAACAAGTGAAAGACAAGACAGTGGTAGTAGCTTTATTTCTTGTAGGAAAAAAAACAGGAGAACGGATGTATGGATGCGTTGATATAGATGGGAATAAGTGATTGCAAGTTTCCTTCCGCAGCGAAAAAGCAAGCTTTGCCATTTGCCTTGCTTCGTTATTCCAAACGTTGCCATTTGTTTGAGGCTGTTCCCTACGCAAGCGTCTCGTTGTCCGTTTCGGGTGTCCAGCTGGTAGTCAGAAAAGGCTGAGTTCCGCGGGGCACTCTCGGCAGCACTAGGTCGGTTCGAGCGGCCGCCGCCGGGACCCGTGCCCCGCTAACGCCTCTGCCGGCCGCGTCGGCAGGGGGCCGTGCCGCCTGCGTGCCTGCCGGTAGTTTGCCACCCGTTTTCATTTCATCGAATGCTCCAGATGTTCCTGTGATCCAGTAGCGTTTCCAGTCGGCCAGGCGTAATGGTGAACTCGCGCCAGTCACCTCGATAAATCTGTCTGTCGCTGCCAGTGTCGGTCCGGCCCGGCCGAGCTGGGAACGGTGCAGCTGCATCCAAACTGCCTTCGGCTGGTTGCTACAACAAACCTTTCCGATATCGACGACACGCCGGTTGCTAGGGACGCCATGTTCCAGCTGCGGTCGATGCTCAGGTGGTCGGCAGTCACGTGCATTTTGCAGATCGAAACCTGGAATTCCGAGGCGGGTCACTGATGGTTGAAAGTTGCGCTGATAATGACGGGCGTCACTTGACAAAGTATGCAAGACCTTTCAAGGGCCCCGATGTGAAATGAAAATAATTGTCCGGAGAGAGGTTGGCGGGACAATTTAATTGACAGCAGAAATTTCTAGTGCGCTTTTCTATTTCAAATGTGGAATTGACCGAGATGCAACAAGGCTTGCAATAGCATTAAACTACAGACCTGTGTTAACCAGAAGCATAGGCTCTTGAGAGCAGACCATACCGCGACACCGTTTCACCATGAGTTCCTACCACAGAAGAGCGCCTTCATTCATGTTTGCACGTGGTCGGTCGAAGTCGGTTTTGGCCATAACAATGGCGGCTGTAGCACACGCTGGGTTGGCGCACGGCCATGTGCGCCACGTCCGCCTCACTCCCTGTTCGGGGTCAAAGCAGGCAATTTGCCGGGGCGATGACGCTCGGAGACCCCGCGGCGCGCGCGCGCGCGCGCGGTAGCTCGCCACCCGCTCGCTAGGCGCATCCGTTCTCATTTGTCAGGGCTTTGGACAAATGTCGAGTGTGTTCAGCGGCAGAGGCGGCTTTAGCGTTCAGCCACGGTGCTCTGAGCTGCACATCAGCACAACGACACGAAGTTGCTCCGAAAATGAAGCAACGCGGCTGAAAAATGTTAATATTCTGCGCGGTCAATCGTTTTGTTCTGAAAGGCTGCTAGACCCGTTTCAAATGAGTTATGAGCACATGCGAGTAAATTTCCAGGCGTTCATGCAACCCACATGACGTCATATATGGAGGCTTCGCCAGCCGCATTCATTGCGCTTACGACGCCTGTCAGCAGCTTCCATTGGCAGGCGGGGAAGACTAACGTGTGTGTCGAGTGACGCAAGCGTGACACAGATGCACGTTTGCAGTGTACCACCTGGTAGTTGACGCACAATACTGCGGTAGGCGCTGACGTTGTCACGAGGCGCGTGAACATGTCGCGACAGTTTGCGACCCGCTGCTGTTCCGAATGATGATGTCAGTGTAGGGAGCGTGATGGAGCCAGGCGGGTTTAATCGAAACCGGCGTAAGTTCTATGCATAATATCTGCCGCAGTCTGGATATTGGAAACGAAAGCTTTGTGACGTGTTCTATCGTCCTTACAAGTAGTGCCAAGTTTTTATGGCACCCAGTTCTGCCGCCGTTGGCTTTCTTACCGGCGTATTACCCGCAAAAGGTATAAATGAAGGAATCAAAAGACTTGCAAGTACATGGCTTATTTATTTTCCTTTTGCCGACTTGCGTGGGTAAATAATAGCGTCGTAGTACCTGTCCATGGACAGTTATGCTGGTCTCAGTTGCTTCGCTCGCAAGCAGAATTGTTTCATCATCTGTCTCTTCCAGCATGTCACATAAGCGGTAGATTGGAGTTGCTGTAAAATCTTAATAATAGAACAGACTGTTGCGTAGCCTACACCAGCCTGTTCTACCAGTTTTTGACTGTGATTAGCCCACATCCTGTCACAAGTTCTCCCACGTTAAGACTCTGCAAGTATACAGACCCGGTAAACAAGCCGAAAGTTTTACACACAAACGGCAAGTGAGGTTAGCTGGCCGTCTCTAGCTCAGCCCTCTTTACATACATGAGTGGGATATGCCACGCTAGCCAGAAAAATGACTCGCATTTAACTCGGCGCTTGGCGTGGTGAAGAAACGCGACCGGAGCGGCTTATCACAAACTGATTGCCTACGGCCGGCATGACTTTGGCAAGGCTGCGTCGCTCACGCCTGCCTGGCTGAGCCGGGGAGCGCAATCCCGGCGCAGCGCCGCATCATTCACACATGACTCACTGCTGCGGCTGATCGTGGGGGCACGTGCGCCAGCCGCGGCCGTGCCGGCACGTGTCCAGTCTCGCCACGTGACGTAGTCACGTGCCTGCGCCTGGTGGCCGTCTGACTCGTCTGTGAGTGACCGAGTGTGAACAGGCTGCCGCTCTGTCCTGCCTGGCGTCAAAAACTGCCGTAATCCCCAAGGGGGCAGGAGGTGATGGGGCCGTGCACATCCTTCACCCCGCCTGATTCCTCGTAATCAAAGCTGGGCCAGCACTCCTCCAGGTAAGCTGATGATGTATACCACCAGCCCTAGTTCTGATAGCATATCCCCAGGTCAGCTGAGTTTGCCCTGAAATCACGATGTCAGTTTTGGAGCATGTAGCCTATGCGATTAGGAAGTTTGTCGACAGTCTTGAAGCCACGCTGATTTCCTCGTTCGGCGACAGTCGGGAGGGTGCTTGGTTCTGGCAGCGTCTGGCAATTGCCACTGTCTGAGGGAACATAGTTTCAGAAACGTTCACGTTACCCAGCTCCGAAAGAGAAGCACATGTGCACACCCTGACGCCACAGAATAAGACACGGTAATCAAGGCCAAAAACGATAAAATTGTCGAGTCGTTGAATGCTGGCGTTCGTGAGTGCAGTTAACGATTTCCAAATTTGACGACCGTCAATTGGCTTTCAGTCAATGTTGTGGAGGATACAATAACACAGTCAAACAACGACGTAGAGGAGCATGTTTACTAGATGAAACACATTGTGTTATCTATAGTGGTCTTTTCCACTTAAAAGTATACCAATAATCATAAGCGAGCGTATTTCATCATATCTGATGCTTTCTTCATTGTCTTCAAGCGCGGAGCATTCCCCAAGTGTCAGCAAGAGTCCGTTGTGACTGGAGCCGGCGTCGCGGTGTCAGCTGTCGTTGGGCCCGACATCACCAGTTCAGCTGATATTGGACCAGCGAGAGGCCCTTCGAGGCTAATGGGGAACATTCCAATAGTTCCAAGCGTAGTGCTGTCGCACTAGCCGTTTTCTGTGTGGTTTTCTGTGTGCGGTGTCCCACTTTCCAGGCGCGCGATTTTCGTCTCACTGAGTGCTGGTCAGGCCTCGGCTTGATTTGCAGTGCTAAACCCACATCCTCCCGGAAATTATGCAACATAGTTATAAACCGTGTTGGATATTTCCATAATGACTTTCAGTTATTGCTCCATATCGAACTTAAGCCTCCTTGTGACCTCCTAAGATTAAGCCTCATATCAGCACAGTAACTCACGTCGAGTAACATAACGCTGCTGCAGCATCCAGAGTCTACGAGTCCAGAGCCCGGAGGCTCCAGAGTCCTGTCAGAGTCCGCCAGGTCTATGATCCAGGTCGAGATTCGACGGGATCTAGTCTGTTAGTCTGTAGCCAGTTGGCATTTTTCACAGCTTATCGATGAAACGTGTTGTCAGTGAGGTGAGCGACCCCCAAGCGCAGAGTTTCAAGTGAGGTGCGGACGTGGGAGTATGCTTTTTGTGGGCTGCGTCGACTTCAGCGCCGTTCTCAACACCACTTACGCATGTGACTACAGCTCTGGATGACGTAGAACAGATACGCAGCACCAAGATGTCTAGCGTCCGAGCATTCTCCACAAATCAGCGTCTGTTCGCCGACGCTCTCGTTGAACGTCAAGATTTTAGAGCAGCTGCTGCTCCGTCACTATTCGCACTGGCACGATATGGTGCCCGAATGCTGATCTTGGACATCGGGAATAGGTACTGCGATACCGAATGCCACCATCGTCGAAACAGGATTCGGCTTGGGAATAATCCAAGTTATCGGTGATATGCTGTTGTCGCGATCACGCATACCCTTGAGCTGCGGTTACGCACAAAGCCAATTTGAAAGGCGTTTATGTAATTGTTTTTGGAGTAATGGCGTTCAGTGCCAGTTTACTTGACTGTTCTTGACTTGACTGGCGACAGTTTTTGACTTGTTCTTGACGACAGGACTTGACTCTTGTCAAGTTTACTTGACTTGAGATAGACGTCATTCTGGGGTAATTAGCAAGTGCTTCCTTACTGTGCCATATCAGCCCTCCTACATCAACACCTCCTATTGTCCTGGTTCACCCTATTCGCCGAGTAGTCGCACCCGTTTGCACAGACGCTGGCTGACCTAGAACCCTGTCTCCAGGTGCGCACGCTGTTCGTGTCTGGCCTGCCGATGGATGCCAAGCCTCGAGAGCTTTACCTGCTGTTCCGGGAGTACGAGGTAAGGTCGAACTGACTCAGTCTCCCCGCGCTTACTGTGGGTTTGCACCTGCTGTTCCGGGAGTACGAGGTAAGGTCGGACTGACCCAGAGTCCCACCCCCCCCCGCTTACTGTGGGTTTGCACCTGCTGTTCCGGGAGTACGAGGTAAGGTCGGACTGACCCAGAGTCCCACCCCCCCCCCCGCTTACTGTGGGTTTGCACCTGCTGTTCCGAGAGTACGAGGTAAGGTCGGACTGACCCAGAGTCTCCCCCCCCCCCGCTTACTGCGGGTTTGCACCTGCTGTTCCGAGAGTACGAGGTAAGGTCAGACTGACTCAGAGTCTCCCCCCCCCCCGCTTACTGCGGGTTTGCACCTGCTGTTCCGAGAGTACGAGGTAAGGTCAGACTGACTCAGAGTCTCCCCCCCCCCCCCCCGCTTGCTGTGGGTTTGCACCTGCTGTTCCGGGAGTACGAAGCAAGGTCGGACTGACTCAGAGTCTCCCCCCCCCCGCTTACTGCGGGTTTGCACCTGCTGTTCCGGGAGTACGAGGTAAGGTCAGACTGACTCAGAGTCTCCCCCCCCCCCGCTTACTGCGGGTTTGCACCTGCTGTTCCGGGAGTACGAAGCAAGGTCGGACTGACTCAGAGTCTCCCCCCCTCGCTTACTGCGGGTTTGCACCTGCTGTTCCGGGAGTACGAGGTAAGGTCAGACTGTCTTAGAGTCTCCCCCCCCCCCGCTTACTGCGGGTTTGCACCTGCTGTTCCGGGAGTACGAGGTAAGGTCAGACTGACTTAGAGTCTCCCCCCCCCGCTTACTGCGGGTTTGCACCTGCTGTTCCGGGAGTACGAAGCAAGGTCGGACTGACTCAGAGTCTCCCTGCGCTTACCGTGGGCTTGCACCGTGTGGACACCGTGGGTTTTCCTAGAATGATGTGCCTCTATTGTGTCCGAATGCCCGGTATCCAAGCAGACACTGCGCGCTCCGCGTTACATAATGTACCTGTTGATGGCACTTTTTGCTCAGGATAGGAGCGTGAGTCAGCGGAAGCCTTCGTTGCCTTGACGCCGGCATGTTGCAATGCGCCGGAATATTGAAGTGTGAGGGTGGCATGTCAATTGGCTGTTGGCTGGTAAGACCCAGCACTGTTGTTCGCTCACCATGCAAGCCGTAGCTCCAAACTTAGACTCACATTTCCGCAAGAAGGCCTGTGTGATGACCATGCTTGAATGCACTACATTCACAAATATTGTGTCGGGCTGTAATTTCAGGGTCATGAGGGCATGAGTGTGCTAGCTGTAATTCTAACACTCACTGTCGTGGTCTACTGCTGCAGGGGTATGAGGGCTCGCTGCTGAAAATCACCAGCAAGAACGGGAAGACGTCATCACCGGTGGGGTTCGTCACTTTTAACACACGCAACGAGGCAGAAGCAGCCAAAAACCGAGCTCAGGTGAGCAGGGGACGTGCTCCCGAGCAACGGTGGACTCGACAGAGTAATCTGTCGGGTCCGACGCTGCGAGAGGAACTCTTAATCACAAACAGACACCAGGAACTCTGCAATCACACCAGATTTGTAAATGACTGGAAGCTTGAAGCGCATCCTGTTCCAATTACAAATACAAATAGTGTATTCATCGTTCATTCGGCAAGTGACGTATAAAGTGCACTATTTTCATTACCTTGCACCGCCAACTGCTGATGAGGTGCGCCTCAAGACCGTCTTGCTTTGTGGTAGGTTCCGCTGGTCCGCATACATTGCGCACCCTGCGTAAAAACTGACTTTGGGTTCATCGCAGGTCAGGTCAAAATTATGTCACGAATCAATGGAAGTGAGCGACATTCCTTTTCTGTTGTCGTCCTTGTTCATGCGCCCTTGAGCTTTGCGACTGAGCTAGAGGCCACGCGGAAGGATAGAACTGCGACGCTGGCCAGAAAGGAATCACAACTCAACTAAATGGAACAGCCACTCGGGATCCGCTCAGAAAAGAGGCCCGCGGCGAAGAGCCTGGCTTCGAAATGCGGTTCTGACCACGCAGCCTGCCAGGTCATACATGGCGCGCAGCTGCGGCGGCGGCACGCGTCGTGCACAGACACAGCGACACCCCAACTGCAACAGCGCATACATGCTCACGGGACGTTGGAGGTGAATCTTTTCAAAGGAGTGATCCTCTTCGTCGACACGATATGTATTCAGCTCTGATAATCCTTTATCTTAGTTCTGCTTTTGTCTTTTCTTATTCGTGGCAATATGTACTTCAGGCGTATGAAGGTCGGTATCGTTTACTTTAGATGTGAGACGTCAGACGATCTTGTCAGGGATGGTCCGCCTTCACAGTTCCACGGATCTTTCCACGCTCACCGGAGGCGGGGCCGGCTGTCTCTCACCGACTCACCTTTCACCGTGTGTGCAGTGTGACCAGCCTGCGACCCTCACGGATATCTCAGGCGTAGGAGCCGACCCTCACGGATAGCTCAGGCGTAGGAGCCGACCCTCATTGATAGCTCAGGTGTAGAAGCCGACCCTCACGGATAGCTCAGGCGTAGGAGCCGACCCTCACGGACAGCTCAGGCGTAGGAGCCGATCCTCACGGATAGATCAGGTGTAGGAGCCGACCCCCATGGATAGCTCAGGCGTAGGAGCCGGCCCTCACGGATAGCTCAGGCGTAGGAGCCGACGTTCACGGATAGCTCAGGCGTGGGAGCCGAACCTCACGGATAGCTCAGGCGTGGGAGCCACCACCGCCGATGCACGCTGCTGATCAATCCGGCCCTATATGCCCGCTGAGTGGAGCGGTAACTTGTCCATCGCCAAGCCTCTGTTCGACCAAGTGCACTCTGTAGTCAGCCTTCAGCAGCCTGTTAGAATACCGAGATTAATGTGGACCGTACCGCGGCGGGGTGGCCGCCGTGAGCGTCCGCCGCCAACGGGCCGCAGTTGTGTTAGTAGCCGCTGCGGCCGACAGGCGGCGCGCTCAGGTCCGACCCGGCCCGGTCCACGAGCCCCGGGTCACGGTGGACCGTTCTGTGTCCGACAGGGGGCACGCTTCGACCCCGATCTGCCCCAGACCATTCGTCTGGAGTTTGCCAAGAGCAACACCAAAGTTAGCAAGCCCAAGCAGCAGGTGTCGACCGTGGCTCCCCACCCTGCACTGATGCACCCAGCCTTCTCTCACGGACGTAAGTAAGCCTCTCACCGAGCTCACCGTCCCCTCTCACCAAGCACTGTCGGCGGCACTGATGAGGCGGAGCGTGTGGAGCCGCCGCCGGCCCTGCGCTGCGCAGCCTGCGGTGGGTCTAGCGTCCGCGGCCGCTCCTGGCCACCAGAAGCTCCAGAGGCCACCAGAGGCCTGCGGTGGGTCTAGCGTCCGCGGCCGCTCCTGGCCACCAGAAGCTCCAGAGGCCACCAGAGGCCTGCGGTGGGTCCAGCGTCCGCGGCCGCCCCTGGCCACCAGAAGCTCCAGAGGCCACCAGAGGCTCGCCGGACTAACACGGCCGACGTCGATGTTCTGTTCGTTGATGAAGCAAGGCCTGCCCAGACGTGTGGTGCATGTGCTCTCACTGCGCCCACTGCAATCGTCTCTCGTCCAGTCTATCTTTTATGATTTTGTCCAGCTTTCATCCCATATTTTCATTCAGCTTTCATTTAATCTTTATGTGCCTTTTGCGCATGTCATCCGTGCTCTCACCGTCGTGATGTTTTGTATGCTCGTGTTTTTTTGGTAAATATGCGTTCCATGTCCAGTCTTGTGTCTTGTGACCTGTCTTGTGTTTGCATGCGCGGTGATGTACACAATCCAATTGTTGTTTGTTGTTGTTATGTTAAGCTGTACGTTTTGTTAAGTGAATAACCGTCATCGTTTGCTTCCAGCATACTTAAGTATTAACAGCCTCAAACGTCAAGAAATTATGTAACTCAGATACAGGCGTCCGGAAGTACGTTAATTTTTTGGATGGGGGGGGACTGTGGGGCGTAAAGCCACGTTTTCACCGTTAAGGCCTCAACTCATTTTCATCCTTAATACCCACCTGCCTTAGAGATTGGGCATAACCGGAGACGCTCTCCGTGTGGCTTGCTGCTCCTGCCAGCTCTCCAGTTCTGCTCACCGCTATGCACTTTTGACTACTGCCGTCATTTGCTATGTCATCCATGGTTCGTTGGTCTAAATGATGGTCCATACTAGCCTCATACCATCATATCAAGCATATGGGCGCTTTGACGTCAATGAAAAATGTTATATACAGGCATCTCCTGCTAAAATAAGTCTGTGAAATCTTTTGATGATAGGGGTATGGTAAGTCATTTCTTGTGGTTATAGATAGTAAATAATAGCAAGGATGTAAAGTATCAGGTGCAATAAAATGTGTGGATTATATATTATATAATATATATATCTATATATATATATATATATAGTATATATTATATATATATATATATATATATGTATATTAGATGTCTATACGTATATACAATCTAATATACATATATATATATATACATATATGTATATTAGATGTCTATACGTATATACAATCTAATATACATATATATATATATATATATATGTATATTAGATGTCTATACGTATATACAATCTAATATACATATATATATATATACATATATTAGATGGCTGTACATGTATATACAATCTTAAGCACGTCATTGATGCGTCGAGTGATGCGAACGTGACGCACGGGAAATATAATAAACTCAAGTTAGTGGCAGTCGAGAGATGGCGCAGTTGACCTTTTCCGAAGGGGGCGTAAGAGATCAAACAGTCTCTCTAAGAGATCAAACAGCACACAGCGAGACGCTGCGTGCACGCCTCGCATTAGTCGCACCAACTCCACAAAATCGCCCACCAAAAGCCGTCTAATGCGGTGCCACGGGCGGCAAATCGTGCATCACCTCATCGGGGGACGGATCGGCCGCTGACAAAACCACCGGCGCTCAGCCGCATCAGCTCAAAGGTGATCATTCAGGGAATGACGCTACACCACTAGCGGCACCGAGCTAAGACCCAGCGAGACCCACAACCCACCCCATCGGCTCGTCTGGCTCTGTCAACATGAAGCGATGCGCCAAAGGCGAGTGGAGCCAGTCTACGACAGTATCTCAAAAATAGCCGTTATCGGCCACGAATCACTGCTTAATAAGGTGTAAAATACTGAATTTAATGAGCTTTGCCACGTACCCGGTTTCTTTTCGGTATGGCTACCTGTTTCTAGATGCACCCGTAGTATTATGTCAGTTCCATTTGTTTGTGAGCAGTGCCTACCTTTCATTGCAATGCACAACCCTGTGGTGATCAGCGAGTCGCCTGACGCAAGCCTGGTGCACTGGTCGGCTATATCCTCAGTAAGGATGCCGATCATGTGCCTGTCCGGTGGACGCACGGACACATCCGTGATGTAGGAACCAGACATATCCCCAGTGGGAGGGCCCCAATGAATAGGCGGAGCATAGCCATGGAAGAGACCGGAAATACACCTGAAAAAGGTCAGACAAATCCTTAGGAGGTCGGACCGCCGGGTCGGACAACTCCGGCATAGGCCGGACTAACCCCGGCAGAGACTGGACATAGCCGCGGCAGAGGCTGGACGTAACCCCGGCAGAGGCTGGACATAGCCCCGGCAGAGACTGGACATAGCCGCGGCAGGGGCTGGACATAGCCGCGGCAGAGACTGGACATAGCCGCGGCAGAGACTGGACATAGCCGCGGCAGAGGCATGGTCCGCCATCGAGCGGTGGCCGGCAGTCGATCGATACCGTCCTCGAGCCCTTTATGAATGCCGATGTGAGATCACGTGCCTACCGGCCATCGTAAAGTGCCGCGCCGACGGAAACTCATCAGCATTGGCCGACCAATTGGCCGGCCGGCCAGTTGTCAAACTCGGCCGGCGCCCGCGCTGCCGGGAATTTCACCGTCCGCACTCTGCCATTAGCCGCGGAACGCGCCGAGCCGCCGTCCGGCAGCCGCCGTGCGCGTGAGCGATCGCGGACGACTACAGCGGCGGCGCTGGGCTGACGCTGGACCGAGCTCTGATGCAGGCACAGCTGACTGCCATGCGACGGGTGGTGGATAGGCTTTCAGTCCTTTCACAGCCATTTCTAACGATAACCACCCTTCAGTGGCGTGGTGAGACAAGACGACGTTTGTTCAGTCAGGTGGTAAAAGCGAACTTACAGCCGCATGGAATCAGGTTGGTGTACTGCGTGGCTGGTGGCAGTTATTTAAAACAGTTGAGTGACGGCAATTGCTGACAACAAACAGTTAACTAACGTCGGACGAACGGCCAGGTAACGGCGGACAAATGGCGGGCTTGTAAAAGACGGGCGGCGGGCCGAGTGGACATACAGTGAACCGCCCGTGGACACACAGTGGACTGACGGTGGACAAGCAATGGCCCGCCAATGGACAGGCAACGGACTGACGGTGGACAAGCCATGGCCCGCCAGTGAATACGCAGTGGATTGACGGTAAACACACAGTGTCCTGAGGATGGACAGACTGCGCGCTTGCGATGGCCGCTGCCGTCGCCGCCGCCACGCCGCTGCTCGGTCCATCATGGCCGTCGGTTCCGTATCGACGTCCGTCCCAGCTTCGTGAATCATGGAGCGCCGGCAACGGCCGTCCGCACCGTCCGAACTAAGCACGCTCAATAATTCAGCGCGGCCCGGTCGATGATCGCACGGCGCTTGTATGTAGCCGGTGATGAATTGCACGAAATTGTCGAGCGGGCCGGGCCCGGCGGCCGTGGCGAGCTCGCCCCTGTCGCCACGCTGCCGTCGCGCCCCGGCCGGTGCACTGGCGTTCGAGTGCGAGCTGTCCTCATGGTGGCCTGGGTAGAGACTTCTTCTGCCATGTGATTAAAGAGCGGATAGCGTTGGGGGCGGGTACCCGATGCCCCCCCCCCCCCGAGCGTTAGCTTCAGCTTGTGGCGCCGACGTCAGTGGGTCGTCGGCGCCGACGTCGGTTTCTGGCGCAGACGTCAGTGGATCGTCGGCGCCAACGTCAGTTTTTGGCGCTGACGTCAGTGGATCGTCGGTGCCGACGTCAGTGGGTCGTCGGCGCCGACGTCAGTTTCTGGCGCAGACGTCAGTGGGTCGTCGGTGCCGACGTCAGTGGGTCGTCGGCGCCGGCGTCAGCTTCTGGCGTTGACGTCATTGGGTCGCTGGACTTCTGGGAAGCAATGACGACGGCGCCGCGTGATAGCGTCCCATCAGCAAAGCACTGCCTTTGGGTGCTTTATTGCCGTCAGACCCAAGTGTGCACTGGGCCGCGAACGTTTTGGGTTCCTCGGAGTAAACTATACTTTGTGGGCTTCACCCGACCTATGACGTCAATTCGATCGATTATGGGTCACGTGCCGTTCATAGTTTACTGTATGGTCTACGGTGTAATCTGGAGATCCCAGTGTCTTAGCCGCTTTGAAAAGTAGCGTGCGCTTCCGAATGCAGACTACGGCGCATTCCGACACACCAGCTACAGGACCAAGGTTGTCGGGCCCTGGCAGTTTTGATGGTCTGTCACGCTCTAAATCGCCCTCGATGACCAGAATTATTTTATTTAAACCGCAATGTCCGCTAAGCATCGTGAGCTATCAACACATGGTTCGCTATAAAACTGAAATACCTTTCAGCTTCTGAGCATTACCAGGCTGTGCGTTTCTCTATCCCAGTACATGGCGAGGCCGCACAACATTTAGACATGCCATTGTTGTGGTCTTTCCGTTGGCCTCGCGTGACTGTGCTGGTGCGGACGTCTGGCTGTTTGCCGCATATGTCTCTGGCAATGTGGACTTGTCATTGCGCCGTGCGTGGCTGGGGTGCCATGGACGTGTTACTATGCTACGCGTGGCTGTTGTATTGCGGAAGTGTTGCCGTGCCGTGTATGTTTGCGGGGAAGCGGAGCCCTTCCTGCGCCTCACATGGCTGCGGTCTGGCCCAGCTGGGCCGCGGCACGGGGGATGCCGCGTGCGTCACCTCTCGTCCCCTACCGGCAGACGTGGGTAACTTCTACGGACCGGGTGCCGACATGTGGCACCACCATCCGGCGACGGCGCTGGCCTACGGGCCCGACTCGCTGCACCACCCGCACCTGCTGCACCCGGCGCTGCACGCGGCCCAGGTCCCGGTGCGTGGCTATCTGTGACTAGAGAGGCGACTCGTCTCCGGCTCCGGCGCCTGCGCGGCCCATGTTAGTCCCGCGGAGCGCCGCGATGGCGAACCAGCCGCCCGCTGCGGCCGCCGCCGCACCCAGCTGCACCGACTGCCGCTGCCGCGCGCTCACCGACTCACCGGCTCACCGCCGCGGAGAGCGGCACGCGCACCGCTAACTCACCGGCCTGCGGCGGGTCAGGTCACCTCTGACCAACAGACCTGCGGTAGATCCATTCGTCACAAAGTCACTGATCTGCGGTAGGCTAGCTTGCTTCCAACTCACTAACTCACGGCAGACTAACGCATCGTTAACTCGCCGGCCCACGGTGGGTTAACGAGTCACCAATCACCGCTTACTCACCCACCTATGGTAGAGAACTGCCACTACTGACACCGCAGCCCGCATCTGCGCATCTTGTTCCACCTCAGCTTTGCAGTCAATGCCTGGTCGTGCTTCCACTGAAACTCTGAAAGAAAGCCCGGCTGGCGGGCACATCCGCACCTGCAGCTCTGGAGAAGGCCACATTTTTTATCGATGCTCTATGATTTGAGATCATGTTGTTGGATACTTAACATTTCCTCGAAAGATTACAAAGCAAAACGTTCTTAGGCATGTTAGAATGTTTCGACTGCCTGGGCAGCAATACTTAGGAAACATATGTGTTCAACACAGCGTTTTTTAACTTTGCACTTTGTTCTGTTAAGTTAGACTGGTGGTTTGCAATAAGAACCATTGCACTGACGAAAATTAGCAAACGTGCCATGGATTAAAAACGATTTGGAACATTTCTCAAAGGCAAGCGAATGGTGCGGCGTTCCAGCTGCAAATTAAGAGCCTGTGCTTCGATCCAGTACAGTCCGCAACGCATGGTACTTCATTTCGTATTGCGGTTCCCCGCGGACACACTCCTCCCGCTCCCCTGCCAACATGGGGACGGGTCACGCTGCCGGCTCGACCGTGACGTCATCACCGAACGGGCCGACCGGTGGGGGAGTGGGGCGAGGCGCACGCTCACACACGCACACGAGCGCACCCTCACAATACACCGCTGGTGGCCATACTTGAACGCACGCCTGTAACGCGCCTTCGTCACTTGACGCTCGCGGGGCTCGAATGGCCAGGACAGCAAACAGTGTGGCAAATGCCAGTCGTGGTAATTCTTTTCTGCGCACAGAAAAGTTTCCGAGAAGCCCGATGGTAACACAAACTTTGAAATTATACCAGCCGTCAACGGCCCCATGATTAGAACTGGAGCTCTGGGTATTGATCGCAGCACTCGTTTCGCGGCAACCCCAGTTGAAGCTGTTTTGACTGCGCGGCGCGCGTGACCACTGTTTGCGGCTGGTATGGTCACGCGGGTCGATGGTGGGCGGCACTGAGCGGCCGGACTGGTGGCCGCACAGGCGCCGAAACGCAGACGCCTCGCGGTCGCCCCGCGCTCACATTCAGCCATTGCACGCGCTTGTCCACGTCTTCGCCCAAGCATTCCCCGTCGACTTCACTGGCAATGCGGAAATGCTGCTTCCTTGAGATGGAAATGCGAGGGGCTTGTGTAGGTTCTGCCTGTTGCTGGACCGCTCAGAGAAGTGTCTTATCGAACTTGTGCGGACGCCACGCGCCCCGCTGGTCGTGAAGCCGCACTCGGCCCTGTCTGCGCCGGCCGAGCGCAACTAACGAGGGTCCAGTCCTGTCCAGTGTCGGGGCGAGGGGTTGAGGGTCCGGTCCTGTCCAGCGTCGGGGCGAGGGGCTGAGGGTCCGGTCCTGTCCAGCGTCGGGGCGAGGGACTGAGGGTCCGGTCCTGTACAGTGTCGGGGCGAGGGGCTGAGGGTCCGGTCCTGTACAGTGTCGGGGCGAGGGGCTGAGGGTCCGGTCCTGTCCAGTGTCGGGGGGAGGGGCTGAGGGTCCGGTCCTGTCCAGTGTCGGGGCGAGGGGCTGAGGGTCCGGTCCTGTCCAGTGTCGGGGCGAGGGGCTGAGGGTCCGGTCCTGTCCAGTGTCTGGACGAGGGGCTGAGGGTCCGGTCCTATCCCGTGTCGGGGCGAGGAGCTGAGGGTCCGGTCCTGTCCAGTGTCTGGACGAGGAGCTCCACTCGGCCGGCCACTGGCCCGACCAGCCGGCCAGCGGCATTCAGCGCATAATGAGCCGCTGATGAAAGCAGCCCTAGCACGCCACTGCGCGGCCATCAGGCCCGGCCGCTCCCCTCATTCGGCAAACGAGCCCAGCCCCGTGGCCGTACAGTGCTCCCCTGGGTCCGGGCTGGGCCTCGGACGCCCAGAGGACCAATGCGCTCGTCCACCGGGCGGCCGCACGTGACGCCACGGACAGGCGCTAGTGTCAACATGGGTTTCCGAAAATACTATGTGGGTCGTGGTGTCACTATGGGTTTCCAAAGATACTATGTGGGTCGTGGTGTCACTACGGGTTTCCAAAGATACTATGTAGGTCGCGGTGTCACTATGGGTTTTCAAAGATGCTACGTGAGTCGTGGTGTCACTATGGGTTTCCAGAGATACTATGTGGGTCGTGATGTCACTATGGGTCTCCAACGAAGTAGGTGGACGGTAGTGTTGCGATGGGCTTCCAGATTAAGTTTCAACCGATTCTTTTTGAACTTTGAGCTCCCCGTTGCGAAGGTTTACTCCGCCAGCAAGAGTGGCCTTTTATTCAATTTTATTCAAGATCGACAGAAGATTACTGGCTATGTGCGAAGCAATTGAAGCGAAGCATGCTTGGCTTATCGCATCATTTATGCGGTACAACTACTAGGCGTTTCTGTACAGAGAGGAATTTGCATACAAATTAACGCTTAAATTAAGTCCGTTTCACAGCAGCAACCACTTCCCGACCAAACTGCAAAAACATATGTGGGTCAACACGAACAGGCCCGCATTTCACAATGCAGTCCGAATGTAGAGGCCGGTATAATCCAAAGAGAAGGAACTTTCTTGGCCCCTGCCCAAGAAACCCGTATGATCCTGTATATCAGTTCGTGCTGCGTTATAAATAGCAACATACGGAGAAACGTGTAGCTGCACGGCTCTTGCCACCGCGGTTGGGCTCACTGTCACGGCGTCCGGCCCCGTAGCCAGTTTGTACTTGCGTCCACAACAGAGTACAGTGCCGTTGTCGCCGGGTCCCCGCCGTCGGCGGTCGCTCGACCGAGCCGCGGCGGTGTGTCCCGCCCTGCGCGCAGCTCTCCGGCCCTGCCCTGCCGCCGCTGGAGCCGACGGCGCCCCGCTGCGGCCGGCCGCGTCTGACGGCGCGCGACGCTGTCTGTCCGGCAGGCCCACCTGCAGCTGTCTAATCTGAACACGGTCGGCACGCTGCCGCTGATGTCTCACGGCGGCCTCGGCTCGCCCACCTCCGTGGCCGGCAACACGCCCTGCTCCACGCTGTTTGTGGCCAACCTTGGTCAGAACGTCACCGAACAGGAGCTGAAGGAGATCTTCGGCAGGTGAGGTGCCCGCCCCGCCTCGCTCCCGCCCAGCCCCAGCCCGCGCGTCTCGGTGTAGGTGGCCTAGATAGATCCTTACCGCGTTGCCATTGCACAGCAGTCGAGGGCCACGGACTAACTAGATGTTCCTTCTGTCACTGTCGCCGTCACCGCCATGTCGGGTCACCGGGCGCGTTGTCGGCCGGGCGTGGCGGACGCGTGCTGACGACTTCACACGGTAGCATCACAACACCTCTGTCGGCCGAGCATGAAGTACTAACTGGCGCTGGTTTCACCAGGTGGCTGTCACCGCGCACCCGTCTAACGCACCCGTCTTCTCTCCCGCCTCACAGCCTGCCCGGGTTCACTAGGCTGCGCATGCTCACCAAAGGCGGATCGCCGGTCTCTTTCGTGGAGTATCAGGACACGAATCACGCCGCCGTTGCCATGGCAATGCTCCAGGGGTTCGTTCTCAGTCCGGACCGGGGTGGCATTAGGATTGAGTACGCCAAAACAAAGATGGCCGACAGCGGTAAGCGAGATTCGAGCCGCGCGGGCACGATTCGGACGGCTGGGTCTGTTGAGCGTCGGCTTATGTCGCTTACGCCTTCGTGACGCTGCTTCCGTGACTCAGTCATCAAAGATTGTGCTGCGGCCGTTGCTCGACAAGCTCCGTCTCCGAATCGGTCCCATGCTGCGCCATACCTTGGTGCTTTCGCACCCGCAATTGCTAATGTTTGGTGCAGGATGCACCATCTCCGTTATATGCTTGTGATCGATGCGGCGAGAAATCTAGCAAGGGCGGTTACGAAATGAAAAGTCGACTGTTGGTGTGAGTGTGACCACGCGCATGGTTTAGAATGTTTGTGAACGATACTGACCTTAATGATGCGATGGATCTTACGCTTGCTTCTGCTTCACAACATTCTACGCGTCAGTATAACATCCATCTTGCCACTTTGTGGTTATTGGAATGCCTACCGATATTACTAATGTCATACACAGAGTACTTTCCTTGAAAAGCAAGCTTGACGACGTGTTGTCACGGCTAGCCAGCATGGTTTTGTTTTCCACCAGAAGCGAAGCTTGAGCCGTTGTGCCGCACCGAAAGTCGACTCTCCCTTCACGGCCTCCGGTCCCTCATGCCCTGCACTGCTGCGTCTGCGCTGGTGGGCTCTGTATGCCGTCTGGCAGGTCGCGTGCGACGCCTGTTGCACTCCGGCGTCTCCAGAGCCTTGACATGCACCTCACGCTCTGCCCCCAGGGATCCAAGACTAAGGATGGATAACATAATGTCGCACTGAGCCCGAGCGGCGTGCGACTAGGCGTTGGCCGCGGCGAGCAGAGCAGCGGGGAGCGAGCTGGGGCGCGGCGACCTCGCAAAGCGCCCGCCGGGGCCGACCGGCCGCCCGTCCGTCCCCAGCCCCGTCTTTCACCGGGAGAGGCCGCGGGCCGCCGCCACGGCAGCTGAACCGTCCGCAACAAACCCACACTCATATCAACAGCCTTCAAACAGTGGCGAGGTCCGCCGGCGACAATGGTGGCCCAGACGGCAGTGGCGCAACGCAGCCGCGCCGCTCGATGTATGTGTGGGGGAAATATTTAGCATGTTGTCCCCCATCTTTAGCGTCATTTTCATTGGCCCTGCGTTTCGTGGTCGCCATTGCTCTTTGCCGCGGGAGTTGGCATCTTGCGCGTGCCCCGAACCGGCCGATTCCGTTGACATTCCAGCTGGCGGAGGTGGAGTTGCCAGTCACTCGGTTCACTGCTGAGACGTCGGCTCCGTGACAGTGGCGCAGCCGGACGGTGAAGAATGCAACCTGTGAATCTCCGAATAATCTGTAGGTGTCGCTAGTTCCTCGCTGTACTCTCAGTACGTTTGCTGTTCGGTGTTAGACCCTCGAGCTTGGAGCGTGTCAGACTTGTTGCGCAGTGAATGGGAGGTCGGCTGACTCTCTTCCATAAGCTCAGAAACCCAGGAAGCCTACAAGGGTGAGTTGATGACGTCACGTCGTGAAGAGCCCCGCCTCTGTCCACGCCCGTAAGCAATACGCCCCGGCAATAGCTGTCTTACCTGAGAGGCTATCGGGAAAAGCATTTGTCGACCGCCGCGAGACATCAACTGGGGCTCCACGCGTTAAGGCCTACATGGCCACTCAACAGTGCGGAGTCTGCGCGGAAAGGCTCACACGAATAAGCTCATATTAACGGTCACATGGATAGGTTCACCTGGGAAGGTTCACATTGAAAGGCTCACTCGGGAAGGGTCGCGTGGGGAACGCCGTTGGGGCGGGTGACGCAGGTCGTCCGCGGATCCGCGCCGCCGGGGTCGCCCGTGCTAGCAGAGTTTGCTGTGAGATGCGACCTGCTCGCCTTCTTATTCCGTCCACTTTGTCCGGCTGCAGCTCAAGTCTGCGCCGGTGGCGCCGCGTGGCGGGGCGCGGCGAACCGCTCGGCCGGCCGCGCTGTGATAGCCGCCTGGCGCCGCCCGGCGCCGCGGCCGCCCCAGCACGGTCCGCCCAGCGCACAGCCCATCGACGTCGATTGCCTTACAACTTTATATCATGGTCTGGTCGAGAGCGCCTATGGATGTTGATGTTGTTTGTAATTTGCTAGCTATATCCGATGTAGGCTTTGCTGAGCGCGAGCGACGCGGGGTCGCGGCTGTCGCGAGGCGATGACAACAGGACATATCAGAGGTTTCCATCCATGGGTGAGCACGGACGTGTGCAATGTCATGTCTCCCGCCGCGTTGTCGAATAGCTTCCCCGCGAAATGTGGCTGCTGTCGTAGCCCGGAAGCCACCCCAGAAAAGCGCCGCGGAAACGATGCGCGGTGCGTTGTCATTATATTCCGGAAAAGAGACGCCTGGGGCTAGTTTAAAACGTGTAGCAACGTTGAAAAAGGCCTTTGGACGAGCAAATTGGTGCATATCAGCTATTCTGTCCTGTCACCTTTGACAAACTCGTGTGTAGGCGTATATCGTAGTTAGTGCGTTGAAAGCTATATAAACAGTGGCCAGGTGTAATGTTATGGACGACATTGAGCTATTCAAGACCTCCGTCCCTCTGTGGTGGCTATGTAGTACTGTAATACTGGCGGGTATCGGAATGTTCCTGGCCTTTTTCAACCGCAATCATTTCTTGACATGCGTGGGTGCTGTGTGGCACACGCTGATTCTATGCGATGTCCTTGCCTGTTACGGCAAGGGAGCATTTTCCCCATCTCTGGACGTCCTTAGCTTCGGTGTTTTTTTTTCTGTTTAGTTTCTTAAGACTGCGTCTATGTTTCTTGACTAGCTCGGTCTTCCGCCATCCTCGTAGAGCCAGTATGTCACAGCCAGCACAGAGGGCGCTCCACATTTGAGTGATGGTGTCAGCGCCGTCCGATCGGCGGGCCTTGTACATATGTAGGACATTTAGGGTAATGTAAGGTTTCATTGTTCGGAGCGAGACAATGGCGGTCTCGGAAGCTACGTCCCAAAGAGTTTATGTTAATAGTCATTTGACGTCAGGTTCATAGGCGGCGCCACAGGCAGCCTTGGGCGCATTTAGGTTCACTTGTTGATTACACACTGAAATGACAGCCCTTTAGGCTTTATTCGTATTATTTATTTTCGTAGACAGTGCGGACGATGATATTATAAGTGGTTGCGCTGCGCGGTCAGGCAGTGTCGGCCCGGCATTGGGCGGGTTCTGTCATCACCGGGTGATCCCAGGCGTCCCGTCACAACAGCTGGTTGGCCTGGCTGCTACCTGTCGGCTGAGCTCTACTACCCGAGCAGCCCCTCCCCCGGTCAGATGAGGCGCCCAGCTGCGGTCGGGCCCCAACGGAGCCGCGGGGCGCTCGGGGTCACTGACCTGCACTCGGGCGGACCACGCGAAGTTACCGACGAGTCTCCTGGCCAGGTCGGCGCACCGTGCGGATCAGCAGCCGTGTGCACGGTGTCGACAGAGGCGCTCCGCTCGTGCGGCCGATCGGCGGTACCCCTCTGTCGCGGTCCCTGCGTCCGGGCCCGGGCGCTGGCCCCGGCCACTCGGGTCCCGCCGTCATCAGCACTCGGCGCCGGTGCCCTGTCTGCTGTGTTGTGATCGCGTCAGTGACCGCCGTTCCCCGTCGCACGGCAAGCGAGGCGGCAGCGTCCCTGACGTCAGGGACGCGGCGATCTGTTCATCGTAGGCTCCTTTGTAACAGGCTTCTCCCTACTGTGTCTGTGTTAAATTATTTGACCATGTTCTAGCGCGTTAGCCTAGTCACTGTGAGTCTGCTTGTGTATAGTAGGCTGTTTCTGCTGCTAGTTTTGTCACGGGGTCCAAGACGCGCGAACGACGCCTGAATAAATCGCCAAAAAAACATGTGGGCGTTTGCAATAAACATCGGGGTCTGCAAGATGGGAGGACGAGTCCAGATGGCAATGACCTGGTTCGAGTAGGGTTCTTAGCGTCATCGCAAGTTTCTTATAATATAAATACGTGCTGTATTAACAAAGATAAATATAACCAAAAGATTGAAAATGGCTGGCTAGTGTAATGACGCCGGCCTGACGTAAAGAAACAGATACAAATGGTTTACAACCAACAAACATGAAGCAACTTTGCGTACGCACTTCTACGAACAATATGCAAGCCCGCGAATGTGAATGAGGACGAGTGAACGAACTTGAGAACTGAACTTAAACCCGCGCAGCAAACGCCGTCAATGACAGGACACAGTGACACTTTATTCTACAACAGACACGAATGACAGATCATATAACACCCATGATTGTGTATAGATTCGAAGAGCATCACGAACATGACCTAAGCGCTCAGTAACAGTAACGCAGCCATACTTGGCACAATGGGAAGAGCAGGGAAACCTGACTAGCTACTTCTCACACGCGCTGGACACGACGCCGTGTGGTCGCTAATACTGACTGACTAGACGTCCCTGGTACACTCCACCAGTGAGAAACAGAGCCAGCGTCACCGTCACAGACACCGCCTGGTATCACTCCATGACCCGGTACCACTCCGTGACCTGGCACCACTCCGTGACCTGGCAACACTCCTGGCGGCACTCCGTGACCCGCTACCACTCCGTGACCTGGCACCCCTCCGTGACCTGGCAGCACTCCGTGACCTGGCAACACCTCTGGCACCTGGCAGCACTCCATGATCCGGTACCACTCCGTAACCTGGCGCCATTTCGCGGTCTGGCACCACTCCATGACCTGGCATTACTCCGTGACCTGGCACCATTCCGTGACCTGACACCACCTCGGGACCTGGCAGCACTCCGTGACCTGGCAACACTCCGTGACCTGGCAACACTTCTGGCACCTGGCAGCACTCCATGACCCGGAACCACTCCGTGACTTTGCACCACTTCGCGGCCTGGCGCCACTCAATGACCTGGCACTACTCCGTGACCTGGCACCACTCTGTGACCTTACATTCACGGCAAGGCCGACTCGGGTGCCAGCAAGGTCACTAAAAAAGGACACTTGCAGTCCAATGGATGAATGATGATAACAGGAGAGGACGCGATACACGCCGTCACATTGATAAATGTGACAAGGACGTAGAAAAATCACCACAACCGATGCCAACATCTACCTCTGAGTATGGTCCAGTGAACACAACCACCGAACCACAGACGCCAAGAGCAGCCCGGCCATTTCAAAACGGATGCACGTCGTAACGGGTCCTGTAACCACACAAAAGGACAGAACATTTGGAACGAGACCACCATGTCAGTTAACCGTGCTCGTGAGGCATTTGGCTACATGACTCAAAGGTCTGGCCTTTGATGAAGCGAGCCACCGCGTGAGACCTGTAGAAGCAACAACACGCCATTCTCATTTGATAATTCGTCACAGAAGCATTGAATACGCACAACTTGCACCGGACTTTAACTTGAGTGCGAGTGAGTGGCAACCCACGTCCAAATTGACTGGGGACACTTCTCTCTTCAGCGTCACAATATATCCAACTTTTAGCACCGACCTAAAACAATTCCCTCTCACGTCATCCCACACGTAACAGCACTACCTCAGCGGGAGCGCGTGGTCAGGTGACCTGTGACGCACGGCCGTCAGCTGGCCGGACGTGCGCCGCAGTCATCACACCGACGTGGTCATCTCGTCGATCACACTCATCTCGTTCTGCGGCCGCCACTGCGCGCCGTTGCGCAGTATTGAGCCCCTGGGGCCGAGCGGCGGCGGCGGCGGTGGAGGCGGCGGCGGCGGCGGCGGCGGGCGGCGGGCCTCCTCCTCCAGCCGCACGGCGCCCAGTCTGCCGAGGAACTCCGGCTCACTAACGCTGACCGCGCCGGACAGCTGCAACGGCCGCGCCAGGAACACCGACTCGCCCGGCCGGCCCAGCGAGCGCTCCGTGTGCAGCAGGAAGTTCTCCACCTTATCGCAGCTGGTGATGCAGTCGCCGGGGAAGTAGTAGCTGTAGTTGTCCAGCTGGTCCAGCAGGCCCTCCTCCGAGATACACGTCAGTCCGTCTGGCACGCGCTCCAGCAGCGCCCCGTCGTCTAGCACGTCCACCGAGTTGGCGAACGAGATTGACTTGCCGACGCGCTGCAGTGGCGGCGCCCGGCCGAAGGCTCCCGACGAGTGGGCGCTGCCCTCCTCCGGCGGGAAGGCGCAGGTGCACACCTTGTGTGCGCTGTCATGCTCCACCGACAGCTGGCACGCGTCGTGACCCGACGACAGCTGACTGTCGACGGTCGTGTACGACAGCGACGTGTCCATCTTCTTCAGCTTGTTGCGGTACAAGTTCATCATGAAGAAGACGCACGCGCTGAGCAGCACCATCACACTCGAAAAGTAGTAGCCGGCCTTCGGGCTCCGACGGTTGATGTAGCCTGAAGAGGGCAGCGGCGTGGTCTTAAAGCGCCGACGTTCAGAGACAAGAGTGATCCGGACATATAGCCAGACTGTGCTGACCCCGTAGCTGGTTTGGGCATCGCTGCTGCTCGTGAGCATTAAACTACCAACGACAGCAGCAGGACTGACAGCCGGGTACAAGGAAAGGTCCACCTGTGCCCGTACACCGTGCCGTCTGCCATGTGACACCCGTGTACCATTTCCAAAGCTGCAGCGCGTATTTGGGGTAGTCCCGCAGGTATTTCACTACTTGACGGATATAAATTTCTAGTGTACTCTGAAGTATGTATGCCCAAATTACGTCAGGTCATTGGCCGGGTCTGACATTAGTGCGCGGTGCAATCAAGTGTGGCACCATTCTGTCCTGTTGTTAGCTTTTGCAGACGTAGGCCTTTCGTTTGATTTGCAAGTGATATGGATATAATCATGTGTCGAAAGCCAAGCTCGACCTTTCGGTCGGCTTTGTTTAGTTTTTAGCGGGACATGGCCACCGGGTCATTGGCAAGCGGTATCCTAATTTCAGAACGGAAACCGATGAGCACGCAGCCTTGGAAAGGTCACAGAGGCCCACATCTATCTAGCAGTGTTTCATGCATCCAGCTCTATTCAGTCCTGAGATAGTCGTAAATAGTTCAAAACTACTCCACTGTCGTCTATAAGCTGGAGCTGAGGCTCGCCCGCGAGGGGATCACACGGCCCATTGCTCCGCTGCCCGGCGTCGAGCACTTACGGCGGAACGGCCTCAAATAAAGCGGAATAAAGGACTCAAATGGCCTTAAAATAAATCCCAACCAATCGCATGCAGAATGAATAGCGCTCAACAGCTTATCGGGCGGTGACGTCACTGGTGTTGGCATCGATTGAGCATGTGGCGCAGAGGCGCCGACTGGACGGCCTCGCTCGGGTCTCACCGGTGATGGGCGCCGCCACCAGGCAGCTGAGGGAGGCAGCCGCCTGCACCAGCGCCCAGGCGCGGCTGAAGTTGCGCGCTCGCACGCGCTCGAACGTGTACACCTTGATGGCGTACCGGTAGCCGCCCAGCAGGACACCGTACAGCCAGGTGAAGAGCACGTAGCCGTGATAGCCTTCGATCACAGCCAGGGCGAGCAGGCTGATGCCTGCGGAACGGCGGGGAGGGGGAGGTGGTCAAGCTTCATCAAGCAGTAGGTGCAAGGGAGAGAGGGCTCGGAGCTTGTAATGATTCAGGTTCATGAAGTTGTAATCCAAATGAATCCGCAAAAATCAGACAAGCCAGTCGATCGACATCACATGAAGTGTTGGCGACCAGCGAAATAATTGTAAAGCGCTCGCCCCAGATCCTACGCTGGGATTAGACAATATCTTGAATTCATGTGCTGTACTGATGAACAAACAAAAACAAACCGTGGTCACCCTCTATTTTATTTACTAATTTTGGGAGAAAATCTGTTGCCTTCAACGAGAGACGCACGGGAGGGGGCAGGTAGAGAAAAAAGCGAACCTGATGGCAGCACAGTTTACAAACAGTGCACCAGCCTCCGACGAACTCAGTCATTAAGCCTTGATTACTGACAAATGTGCGGGTGAAAGAACTCAGACAAAACAGGGAAGCAAAAAATGACCCTTGAGGGAAACAAAGGCACAGCGTTGGAACGCTGCCCCGCAAGAGAAATGATCCTCTCGACAAAGAAGACAAAGACCGGACGACAACATAGGGCGGACTCTGGCGTCGTTCGGGTTTGCGGTCCCGCTTCGGGCCTCAGCATGGGGTAAGTCATCAAGCCAGGGCACTTGTGCTGCGTCAGATACGAGACGTCAGCTGCTGGATGTGACGGAGACTCGTCACGAAGCTGTGACGCTCCGCGGCTCGGCTCACTGTGACCGCGATGTGGTGGTGCGAATCCCGGCCCGTCCCAGCGCAGCTCGGCTCGGCTCGGCGGCCAGCCCGACGCGGCGTCCCCTTCCCTCCCCCTCACCCAGCCCCGCGTCTGCGTAAGTGTCGGATTTCCCGCGACCGCCGAGCTCATGACGGATGATGGGCCCATCAGTCACGCAGCCAATTACGACGGATTTATGAAACGGGCGTTGAGTACCTCCAACACCGCATGTCCCGGCTTTCCTCCGATCTGATAATACAAACAGCCGCGACCGGGGGCGGGTTCCTAGGGCGTGTACGGGATGAACGGGAACGTTGCGCTCAAGATACTGGGACACCAAAAACAGGACGGCACTTTTCCAGTCTGATACCAATCATTCAGAGAATGGTTTAGTCGTTCATCGTTAACACAAAACACGCCAATGCCCGACCCGGAACGGCAAACAGCTCAGAAAGCTTCTCCATAGTTCGCTCAAGGGAAGTCATTCAGTATGTTACTGGAATTATTTGCATGCAAACAGCCGGTTTACATGCACGATGCAAATTATGGATGCCTCAGCGCCATCAACCACATGCAGCTACACATGCCATAGACTCACTGCATTATGCAACCCGGACAAGTACCGCTTTAATGCATCTGCAACGGTATCGACAGTTCGCCTGCGAAAAACATGGAGCAGGCGGGCGTAGACGAAACCACACCGTGTGAGGATGCCAGCTAACCGTCATGAACACACGAACGGCCATGTAGCGAGATGCTGCACAGGGCCGCATGCCAGTCAGCTCGTCATGCAAGGTTCATTGCCTGCAATGCATGCATGTCGGGAATACTGCGGGCGTCGTCTACCTGTGGCGAAAAAGGTGGCCGACAGAGGTGCTGTCGTGGGGCTCGGGACCGCGCGGGTCTCATGGCGGTCCCCTGGAGTAGAGTCACTTACTGATGCCGAGAAGGGTGGCTTGGCAGAGGTACTGTCGTGAGATCCAGCACTGGGTTGACGGCCGGACCACAACGACGCCGCAGCCCAGGCAGCCCAGGGCCAGTGCCAGCCCCAGGAAAGTCTGCAGGAGGCCGAGAGAGCCGGCGTCCAGTCCCTCCTCTTCACACTGCACCATCTGAGGAGGCGGGCAGCGTCAGATGGTGTCCAGTCTCTCCTCCTCACACTGCACCATCTGAAGAGACAGGCGCCCCCAGGCGGTGTCCAGGTCCTCCTTCTTACAATACACCATCTGAGGAGACGGGAAGCGTCAGACGGCGTCCCGTCCCCCCTCTTAACACTGCTCCATCTGAAGAGACGGGAACCGTCAGACGGCGTCCAGTCCCTCCTCTTAACACTGCTCCATCTGAGGAGACGGGAACCGTCAGACGGCGTCCCGTCCCTCCTCTTAACACTGCTCCATCTGAAGAGACGGGAACTGTCAGACGGCGTCCAGTCCCTCCTCTTAACACTGCTCCATCTGAGGAGACAGGAACCGTCATACGGCGTCCCGTCCCTCCTCTTAACACTGCTCCATTTGAGGAGACGGGAACCGTCAGACAGTCTCCACATCCTCTTTACACTGCTCCATCTGAGGAGACAGGCACCGTCAGACGACACCCAGTCCCTCCTCTTTACACTGCACTATCTGATGAGACGGTCAGACGACGTCCAGTCCTTCCTTCCTGCACCATTCAAAGTGATTATTTGCTCTCCCTGACCCTGCTCTGCACATCAATGACGGGACCGCGGTTTTCGAGTTGAGAGCGGGGGGGGGGGGAGGGGTATTTCCAGGGGGCCTCCTGGACAAAACGGGGCCTCCTTTCAGAATATTCCTCCCCTGGGAAGTGTCATACTCTAGGGGACGGGGAGAGGGTTCGCGTGGCCCTTTATCATGTTGATGCATACGTCAATACCAATCCTTCCAATGCCTGCCAATCCAGAACAAGATCATTACAAGTCACAAAGCGGACCTCCAGATCCCGCACAGGGGGCCATTGCCCCAAAGCAGGCCACACTGACCCGGAACTAGGGCCATGTTGTGCATAAGTGCGCCTCCGTCTCCAGAAAAGGGGTCTGTACCAAACACCACCTGTCAATTTCATAGAGGCATCTTATGACCCAGGGAAGGGCCTTCCGGGTCCGAGTCAGCACCTCCTAGCTCCGTTATGGGGGCGTCCTTGATATGAATTTTGGTAATTTATAAGAAGCAACAGACTCCCTGGTTTTGGGAAAGGCAGGCCTCTCAGAATTTAAAAGCGGAAAAACATAGTCTTGCCCCCTTCTGCTCCTCCCTGCTTCGCCACCTTTCTCTTTGGCCCCATTGCCTGAAGATAGACCAGATATATTGTTGTGTCATATCATCATCTAATCATATCTATATATGCCTGATTTGTAATTCTTTAAAAATGCGGGGTATTTAATGGCACAGAAAAAACACTGTCGTCGACGTATCCTTAAATCCAAACATGAATTAAACAGCACAAGGTATTTAATGAGGCCTATGAATTGCTAAATATCCATTGTCCATAACACTTCCACCAACGGAAAATACGTCGATTCCATTGCGTAAAGTTTATTATTGGGTTCAGTAAATACGTTGCTACATGTGATGTCAAACATGGCGGGCATCATACCTATCCATCAATGGTCGAACTCTGTAGCTTCGCTGAATGCCATCGTAGCTCAGGAGACTGCCCAAAACCCCGCACTTGTAACTACCACTGCCTAGCTACACCAAGCAGCGGTGCGTCCGGCGTGGCTGCCCCCGAGGCAAGGCTGCCCCGGTGGCCGCCCCTCCTGTGCCACCCCGCCTGGCAGTGCCGTGGCGCAGCCCTCTCTGGCCTGCTCAAGACAGGTCACTTCAGCGGAACGGCAATTATTCATCGGCCGGAGACGCCGGCAGCCGGCGAGTTTAATGACCGAACGGCGTCGGTGGGTCGCCGTGCTCGAGGTGACATCCCGCCCGCGACCTGCACGTGCCGCCCGGCGCCCGCCCCGGCCGAGAAAACGGAAATCACAGCACTCCGGTCGGGCTGTCGGGACGCCGCCCAGACTGAAGAGAGCCTCTGTGAGGGCTGCTTGCGGGGGCACCTCTTGCCGTTCCGCACGATTGGTGTGAGGTCTCAGCGCCGATCTAAGTCCACGGTGCCCCGGTGTCGTTCATTGCGGTTCTCCGGACGTGCCCGGCGTGATACCCGCCTCTGGACGGGAATAGCACCTTCTCAGGGCGCTGCTGGCGCCAGATCGGCAGATTAACTCGTCAGGGTTGAGGCGACGGCGGCCCAAATAGAAGATGAAAGGTGCCCGGGAGCTCCTCGGATCGTGTAGACGAGAGCCGACACCTCGATCACGCGATCCTCGGACCGAGCGCTGAGAGGCGCACAGTCCGTCACACGCCTCCGCGAAGCCCCCGAGAGACGCCGGCTCTCAATGCAGCGCGACGCTCGGGCAGGCCGGCTCCCGCACGAGGCCGACGTTGGGCCGCTCTGGCAGCGTCCGGGCCCCGCTCCAGCCGGGCTCCTGCCCAGTCGGGGCCGCCCGGTGCGCCGGTGCAAGCGCACGCGGCCGGGGTCGCGTCGCGGCACCGGCCGCCGCGCGCCGCTGTGCGGTCGCCGCCAGGTGACGCGCGCCGAACCGGGAGGCTGCCGTGGCGCCGTGCTCTCCTCCCGCCCGGCTGACGCACACGCGTGGCGAGACCCACGCGGCCGGACAACGCCGCGACCCTGGCAGCGGTGACACGGCGCGGCGCCGCCGCTGGCTCGGCGGCCCGGCGCGTGGTGACAGCGCCGCAACTAAATCAGCGCAGCCCGAGTTATGCGGCGGCATTCCTGCGCGCCGTCCGGCCCAGTGCCACACGCCTCTGGGACGACGCCGGCGGCGCTCCGGTCGGCGATAATGAGGTGCTGCCGGCGCGACTTTGAGTTCAATACCGGGCGGCACCAAAGCTCGTAACATCAACAGATACTACTGCACGACACGAAAGCTGGGCCGAGCCCAATTTAAAGCGCGAGTATCAGGCTGATGCTGCGTCGGAAAATTTCACTTCGGCCTGACTAGGGGCTAGGAGAGAAAATCGTTGGTTAAGCTGTATGGGTTCAAGCTGTCGGTGCAGTAAATCGTATATCCGGGTCACTCTCGTCGAGCTGGCGCCGTTAATCCTGCAAAGCTGGCCTGTCACTGGCAACAAATATAGCCGTGCCGCAATAAAGTCTCGTTTCCGGGTCATTTCCCATCTGTCGCTGAGCTAGGGAATTATTAAAAGGCCACGCGTTGCGTCAGGCTGGTCGCCTTCGAGATTTGCGAACATAATTATGCCACCATCCCTCGCTAATAGATTAATTCTGAAATATGCGAGGTCAGGAAAAACAACGGCAGAGGCAACAAAAATGCCGTAAAATCATTGATGCCCTTAAACCGGAGCAGCTGTCCCAGCTGGTGACAACATGTTCGACGGAAATCAGTAACGGGCGGCACGGAGCCGTTCATGAGTTATGCCACAGCTTATCGCCCCGTTGGTAGAGCACAGCCTCAGCAATGAAGTGGATGGGACGCAGGCTTCGACACGCAGAGATTGGCAGGCACCCTAGGTTTGGGGGACAGCACAAGCGGGTTCGATCCCATCTAACGCGTCGCATTTCCTCAGCAAGCGACAGGAACGGAATGCCACCGCCGGGCGGTGGTGTCATGGACCGACATGAAACCTTACGTGTTCCCAGTGCTATTGTACTAACAGTCCGGGCCAAGATCATCAGATAGTTCTGACAACCTGATTATAGGAGTCAGTGTTCATCTAAAAAACATACGCCATGCACGGGCTGTGCCAACGCCACTGGAACAAGTAATGCTTCCGCCATGGTAAACTAAAAAATAAGACACCCTCCCGACCAACAGACAACGAGCCCAATAAAATATTCATGGTGACGTAAAACCTACCCGGCCAACGCCACTAAACGTTTGGTTTATGTGCACATCTCCTCGGAAAATTAGGGCCGATTGCAATGTTCTTTTCTCGGGACGCCATTGGGCTCATGACTTTGGCATCCGTCTCGGCTCATAAAAGCCGAGGATCGAGATAAAAGTCGAGGATTGGTCCCAGCCACGAGCTCGCAGTCTCTTGCTCCAAACGGCGCATCTCGTGCTCAGATCCACTGTCAGCGCGCTGCGTACGAGCCCGGCTTGGTAGTACGATCATCGCAGGTGCACGGCACGGCGGTGCTGGGCTGGACCGCCGTGGGCCCAGCTGAATACTATCTCCAAACTCTGCACAGTTTTGGTAGTATAATACGAGTGTTATAGATGCGCGCTTCGTCTCGAAGCTGCCTTGCATGTCATTATTTACGGTTATATGATAAAGCCGTCTGCATTTGGATGGGGCATGGCAGCGCGGCAGCGTGCCGTTTCACAGATACGAACCATGACACGATTGCCGACATTTCTACGCATGGCGCTAAGTTGTCAGCAGAAAGGCCTCTTTTACCTCCACCGATGCGGCTTCCGAGCGGCCATACAAAGCGACCATTCTGTGTGACCTCACCGGCAACATGACATCCGTGATTTCTGTGCAGTTTCGCTAGTCACGCGTTCTGTGTGACATCGTCAGCGATGCGACTCCTGCGCGACTTTACCAACCAATGCGACTTTTGATAAACCCTACCATCTGTAGGCCACCAAAAGTCACATGACATGACATGACATGGCATGACAATGAGCATGACACGATATGCAGCCTGACCAAACTTAACCAGTTCGGGCAAATAACCAATATAATTGACGCGCCCTGAATTCACAAATACACGCCAGCCTAACCAGTAATGTGGCGAAGCGTAACACCGCCAAAACATGGCCTATGTATGACTTCACAAGCCAGGCGTCGCACAGTAACCCGTGCAGTCACGTGACCGCCTGTGTGACGTCACCGCCCACCCGACCCAAGCGTGCCGTCGCGGGTCGGCGACCCCCGGTGCACACGAGCGGCAGCACGAGTGGCGCCGTCTCACCAGCAGTATGACGGGAGTGTAGATGCCGAGGCCGCCGAGAGCGGCTGACATCACCAGCACCTGCACGGTTCGCGCTCGCAGCACACTCCAGTCCAGGTACGGGGGCTTCTCCTCCGGCTTCGGGTTCTTCATCTGAAACCAAGTCAGCCGGCTCTAAACGCACGCTATGCCGGCACATTGATTTCAGTCTCACAAGCGTGAGCATGGAACAGATTTGTCAGTGCAAAAAGAACCAGACACCCGCATCCGCTCCAGCAAGCAAAATCATAGTCGAGTCCAATTTCTAACATCCGGCAAACCTCAAGTGGGCGTCTGGATGACTACGCTCTGCCATTGCTCGATAGACAAGCGGGCATACGCTGAGAGTGCCTCTTAAAGTTGTAAAAAGCACGCTTACACACACGCTGGAATCGTTAACGTGAGGTAGAACCTGCATAACGGGAAGGAGACAGTCGTAAAAATGTCCACAAGTAACGGCCGTCCTATGAATCAACCGCACAAAAACGTCTTCTCATTAGCTGTATCCCCAGCCCAGATGATTGATGTCGAGGCAAGGGCGGCTCGCACACCTTAAACTCCTTTTTCTCCTTGACTTTTCGTTTCTGGTTTTTCAGATGAAGTATCGCTCTCCTCTGCGGATGATAGAGCGACGCGGACCGATAGAAGATGCCGATGATGAACGTGCTGAAGACGATGCCGGTGATGACCTGCAGGCCGAGCCGCCAGCCCAGCCACCTGCCGTGACACAGCGTCCAATCACACCCCAGTACGCAGCTCAGCTGCGTTCCTGGCCATGGCTGGACCGAAGCCGGAGCTACCGGACATATGTACTTGTGCGTTGCGCACAGTTCAGTTAAAATTTCACAAAATTGTTGCGTTTTAGTGACTGCACTTCGTACCGTGCCAGAAAAATGACCTTTTGACTTTGCATGACCTCGGGCGTGATTTCTAGTCATTTGAAAGGGGCGCATTGGACACCACAGACATGAATGGTCACGTCATGCGATGTTAAATCACAATTAAAAACGCCGTTCAGATCACGAGCCTCGTTTCTGACCTCTGACCTGGGCATGCGCGGCCTTACCATAACCACCGTTTCTGACGCTCTGACCTGGGCATGCGCGGCCTTACCATCACCACCGTTTCTGACGCTCTGACCTGGGCATGCGCGGCCTTACCATCACCACCGTTTCTGACGCTCTGACCTGGGCATGCGCGGCCTTACCATCACCACCGTTTCTGACGCTCTGACCTGGGGCATGCGCGGCCTTACCATCACCACCGTTTCTGACGCTCTGACCTGGGCATGCGCGGCCTTACCATCACCACCGTTTCTGACGCACTGACCTGGGGCATGCGCGGCCTTACCATAACCACCGTTTCTGACGCTCTGACCTGGGCATGCGCGGCCTTACCATCACCACCGTTTCTGACGCTCTGACCTGGGGATGCGCGGCCTTACCATAACCACCAGGCATGCTTGTGTTAACCTGGAGTCATTCGTGTGGGACCAGCTACTCGGCTCTTGACAGGGGGCCGAGTTGCATTCATTCGTGGAGCGAGACCATCGGCTTCCAGCGAGGTGAAAGCACACGAGACGGGCAGGTACTACAGCGCAGGGCAAAGCCACGTAAGCCATTTTTTTCGCGTGTGAAATGCCCGAGTCGCTGCGAAACAGTCCGTGCTTATCTCGTTCACTTTAAGTTCGTTCCCGATCGAAAGCTCCCCTTCCAAAATATCCCCAATTCGACTCCCTGTAGATTGTCAAGTACTTGGTTCCACATATGCCACGAATCGTAATATTCATGGGCATTGCTGCCATGTTGTCTGGTTAGTATACGGGTGGAATTCATCCTAGTATGAAGGTGCGCATCGCCAGTGTCAGGGCGTAACAAAACACACATTGATCGTAAGACCCATGGCTTGCTGTATTCCATGGACGATTACTTCTGCAGCGTACAATGTCCCGCCTTGAAATGGCTTTAGATCACTGCCGATGCGTCTAGAGACATAGGATTGCCTGAGGATAATAAGCATCTTATAAAGACGAAGCGACATGGCAGACATCTCGGCAAATACTTGTTCCCGGGTCAGGCCACAGTCAAGAAAGGGCAATTTGTTGTGGTTTTATAATTGACTTATTAAAATGGGATCTTCCAAGGAGTTCGTGCAACATCATCTCAAGCCATTGCAGCTCCAAACAATATGTGTATTTGCTCGATGGTTTGGGATGGGCGCAAAAAGTAATGAATTGTGATGAGGGACGGCTCCCCGGGTATATATGATGTGTGTTAGGCCCGCCTGATCCGAAGGCTGCCTCAGGAGGGATTTGGTCGGGTATGAGTGGGTCGGTGGATTGGGGTCAGCTGCCCGAACCACGGCCGTCTCCATCGTTTGCCTTCAGCGTTGTGCTCACGTTGGAGAGTTGATAAATGTGTGACAATATTTCCTGGCGCTAAAATGTGTGTTATTTATAAGAGCCAAGGCGTTATGCAAGTATTTGTTATTTCACGGCTGGGCTGAGTTTGTGAAGTCTGTGCGAATAGGTGCGAGAGCTGGGCGGAACACTCGTAACCAAAATTGTTCACAGAACGTGCGCCACATTGTAAATAATAAAACGTAAAATCATAACCTCCAAATTTGTTGATATCTCAGGTCATGAACACTTTCTCCAATTGTGCCAAGGCTGTCAGTGCCAATTGCTTGCCTTTGGGTACGCCGATGACTGAACTTTGTGGCATTTTCAGAAATCCAAGTTTTATTGATTCCGAAGTGCCGATGACAGCTAAAAATCGTAAGTTACCCTGACACATTATAACGTTTCTTCGGCCATTGACAGTATAAAACAAATGCTACCCTTACAAGTAAAATTTCAAAATGAAAACTTATCTCACATATCTCACAACGTGTATCGAGTCGTGCTCCGTCGGCTAAATAATTGTTGCAGTTGTCTGACCGAAGGCAGATCGTCCAGTACAACAAGCAGCAAAGCACATCTTCGTAATGACGTACATGAAATCAAAAGCACGAAAATGAACACGCTCTAAAATTTGAGCACGTAATTAAAGCATACCTTGCTCGAACAAAGACGGAAGGTATAAGACGAGATCATATTTTGAAACTTCGAGGCGTTAGTGAAAATCACTGAAACAGCACTCACCGACTGTTAATATCGCGTTGCATACATGCATGCATGCTACTAGCTAATGATTGAAATATTATGCAGATTACTGAGCCAAAAACAGTGAACCGCTGGGAACTTGAGCTGGGACGCCAACCCATTCTGTGATGTACATCACTGAGGACAAATACAGCCTAAAAGGAGGACGAGGAACTGAGCGCCAGCATCAGACGTTAAGGTCCAGCGTACCCGCCCACTGCATCAGCACCCAATGCTGATGTAGCAGCCAGGTCCACGTACCCCAAGCTGTACCGGAGGATGGTGGAGACCAGCGTGAGCCCGATGCCGGCGCCAGACTGGACGATGATCTCCACAAACTCGCGGCGCCGTTTGAAGTACTGGCCGGTCATCAGGTCAGACGTCTCCCGCGTCAGACCCACGCCGATGCCCATTACGACGCCGTAACTGGAACACAGCGCCGCGGGCTCAGCATCACTGACCGGCGGTACAGTATCACCCACTGCCGGCACAGCGTCACCCACCACGGCCAGGGCCCCTCACCGCGAATCACCGCGTGTTACTACGGTCACCGGTTGAACGGGGCCGGACCATGCTTAGACACCATCGCGCCGTCGAGCCTAACCGCAGCCCTATCCTGCCCAGCCGGTTTAGAGCCGCCTGATCTACTTTTCAAACTGATCACAGCGACTAACCAAGCGCAACCGCGGTTTTTTCGTCGCGTCTGTCTGTGTCCGTCGCCGGCAGCCATGACCGCCGGCAGTCATGAACGCTGGCAGCCATGACCGCCGGCAGTCATGACCGCTGGCAGCCATGATCGCTGGCAGCCATGATCGCTGGCAGCCATGACCGCTGGCAGCCACGACCGCCGGCAGCCATGACCGCTGGCAGCCATGACCGCTGGCTGTCTCGGCCACCGGCTGACCTGAGGAAGACCCGACCCCTGGCAGCCTCAGCCACCGGCTGACCTGAGGAAGACTTGATGCAGCTGCTGCGCGAACGAGGTGAAGAGACAAGCGAGGGCGGCCACCAGCCCGCCCAGCACGGCTGTCAGGCGGGTAGACTTGCGGCGGCACAAGCCGACCACGGCCGGCGTCACCAGCAGGCTGACGCTCAGGTTCAGACTGCCCAGCCAGACTGCGGGGCAGGGGAGGTGGAGTCAGACAACGGGGACACGGGGTCGGACCGACTAGCAACCCAGACCACTGTACGGGGTCGGACTGACCGGTCAGACTGCGGCGCACGGGAGGCGGGGCCGGACTGGTCGGACTGCGGCGCGGGGGACACAGAGACAGACTGCCCAGCCAAATTGCAGTGCATCGGAGACGGGGTCGGACCGGCCAGATGGACTGCGGCACATGGGCGTTCAAGATCATCGTGACGGGCCAGACTGCAGCACACGGACGTGCAGAGTTAGACTACCCCACCAGGATGCAACACAAAGGGTGCGAAGTCAGACCGCCCCGCCAGACTGGAACAAGACGCGCATACAGCTTAGCATGACGACACCGTGTAACAGGTGTAACAGGGCATCAAACATTCACGCACATTGCACCACAGGGATAAAGTGTCTCAGGGTACGTCCAACGCATCATAGTGTCAGACCACGCTGTCATGTGAGACGGGGAGCAGGATCACACAGAGTGACTTGGTGTTACAAACCACAGAGTTTTGAAGGAGAGGGTTTCCAGCTAGTCGGGAACGCTTTGTCTTAGTCGCACATGTTAAACGGCGGGATATGGCGTTGGCTGTAATGCCAGGCCGCCATCGCTGTTGGACGGCGGCTGCGGATGGGGAGGGGAGGCATGTTTCCTCCGAGCTGGACTATTGCCACTTAGATTTCAGTGATAACATGTAGGAAGCTGATGCGACCTATCGATCGGCATTAACTTGTGTTATCCTAAGGGACCAAAATAGCTCGAAACACCGTAATGACGCATCGCATTGTTAATGCGGACTTACAGGATCGTGAGAAGCGTCATGAAATCGCCCATATGCACGGAGAGGCCTGCCCAGAGACAGGCGGCAATACAGAGCCGTAGGGCCGGCACTGCAGCGGGCTCGCGGTCGGCAAGAAAGGTCACGCAGTTGGCGAAGGTCACAAACTTGCTTCTCAATCTTAGCAACGCCACTAAACAACTGAATCATACCATACTCTCAGAGCAATCATAGAGCGGTGTAGTTTCTGGATAACTGAACGTGTTCAAAATGTGGGACATCAACAACGAGGGTGTCGACAGTAGATGTTCAACAATACAGGTGTCGAAAAATGCTGCTCACGTGGGAGTAGATCTCGACACACTGTGCGGTTGAAAGCTGTCAAGTTTTGATGTTCGCAGGCCCCCAGGAACGTAGGCACTGTTATTGGCGTTCTGAATACGGCATTGAGGTCGAAGAAATGGGGTTGAACAAAGCGGAGTCAAACATATGCCTGGTCCCCGAATAGCCCGCGTTAGACGTTTCCAAAACGAGTCCAGGCTGTGGGCGTGCCTTTGGAATGGCCCATACAGCTTGACGGATGTCTCGTAATTGCAAAATTATGCGGGTCACAGTGTATCCGAGTCCTCGTCCGTTGATGTTGGTGATATACTGAGGATATAAAATGCAGACGATTCAGAAACGAGAACATTTTTGCAAAAATAAAGTGGCGCCGACCGACAATGGTGTCCAACTGTAATGCTGCAATATTTCACGCGATCACTTCAATCGCTTTCAACCGAACCACCGCACGCTATAAGCCCTGCCGAAATACCATAAAAAGAAAGGAGGTCAGATCTGCACCGTGCGGCAAGAGGGGCCCATGCTGCATTGGCGACGCTCTGCATATCAAGATGTGCGGCGGCAAGCGTGTCCTGATTGAACTCCTGATTCGTCTCCCGATTGGGCCCCTGATTTAACATTCAAAAACGCTTCGGTCGCCGATTCGGTCTCGTCACTTGCGCATAAGGACTCCGGGTGGTGCTTTTACTGCGCCCTGCGATTCCCTGAGCTCGGCGCACACGCTCACACGGCGCGCGCGCCCACACACGGGGGCGTAGTTTCGCCACATGAGTTAGGTGGCCAGCAGTGAAAAATGACCCAGTCTTCCCCAAAACATCCCAAAAACGGGTTTATTCCGGACTGTGCTTATTGTTTCCCAAGTGTTGGGGGGGGGGGGGGGAATGAAACTCCCCAACTGAAAAAGAAACTACACCCCTGCCCAGACGAATGCCGTCGTGTGCATAGCGATCAAATTCCATCAGCCTATACCAGTGCTTCCCACGCACCTACCAAAGAGAGAATTCCCTAAATGAAGTCCGAGTACCAGCTACATTCTTCTGCTTTGCGGATTACTACCGCACTTGACGCTTCCTGGCCAATTGAATAGACTGGTCCATCGATAGCTCTACAACGCCCGAAACTCCGGCGAAGCGGACTTCCTTTCGACGGACGGGACGGAGAAGAACAGTAGGCAGTGCTGACTGGCGGTTGACAGAGATGCGGGCAGTGTTGGGCGACGGCAGCTCGGCGCCGACGCTGGTGACGGTAACAGCGCCGAGCTCCACGCCGGGCTCGGGATCAGGCTCCCGGCCTGGCGCCACCCTCCAGCCGTCCGCCGAGCGTAACGTGACGTGGCGGGTGTTACGGAACCGGTCGGGTCCGCGTGCGAGTGTGGTCCGTCGAACCCGGCCCGGACTGACCCGGCCGCTGGGCCCTGAGGACCTCGACCGGCGGACGGGCCCTCACTGGACGGCACGCTTCCACGGACCGACTGATCCATGTGACGGACCACCGCCCGGTGAGTGATGCATGACGGCGGTTCGCACCGACGTGCGGGGACAACATCCAAACCCACATCCCATCAGCGGAATGACGGACGATCAAGACCAAAATGACGGCGCTAAAATCATGTAACTGAAGGAATTCGGACAAATATCTTAACGCATCCCAAGACATCCCTTCGACATGCCTCTGTTAAGTGGTGGTTGTCATTTAAAACAACACAACTGCACTGACCGTAAAATGAGCAGTGGTCAAACGGGATTTTGAACGGCGCGCACTTCCGAACGTCTAAATCGAGTGGAACTGCCGGAACTCAGAAAGTCTGCACACCCTGTCGCGACTCTTTCAAGACTGCATGAGTTTGGAAGATCGATGTGGAGCAGGGAAGTGGAAACAAAGTGACATCTATCAGCGTCCTTTGGAGCCGTGGGCGCTGGTGAGTTACCGCCCGGCGCTTAACAGAGAGCTGGCTGCCGTTACTGGGCGTGACGCCGCGGCGGCCGACACGGTGTCGGCGCCTATGTACTGTCCAGACACACCCAGGGTGCCGCTGTCGTCCCACGCTGGAGCCACGGGATGCTCGCAACGGCCTCAGCTCCGTCACGTAAACCAACGGCCTCAGCTCCGTCACGTAAACCAACGGCCTCAGCTCCGTCACGTAAACCAACGGCCTACCGCCTCTGATCGGATGAGTCCAGCAAACCTGCAGCAAGCTTCAAGGAGATAAAAGAAGTCTTCAAAGACGTGGCGTAAACGCTCCATGAGTGCATCGCGGTGTCTGCTCACTGTTAGCCCGTGAGATAGCTTGTGGGACCACACACACATCCGGGTATTGGCAGCAGCTTTGAGTCAGGCGATACTCACCATCTGCACGTGACAGTTTCTTCATCAGGGCTGAGAGCAAGCCTATTGCACGGTCGCTTGGCGTCGGCACGGCGCACCCGCACCATCCTTTCTCTTGGGCTCGCACCATCGGCAGGCGTGCGCGGTTTTTACGCACGTCCTTCATTAATCTCGCGGGTAATGGTGACAGATTAATCAAGGCGCGCCCAGCCCAACAAAAACCCACTGGCAATAACTCGGCGCTCATAAGCGCCACCGGGGACCCATGGGCGGCCTGGCGCGGAAGTCCCCGACACCCGCTGTTCCATCACGCGTCGGCCGGTGACACGAGCGGGCGCTGCAGAGGCGCGGGCGCCGGGCGACACCAAGGCCCTGGAACAGGAGTGACACGGCCGCCGAGACCGGTCTGTCGGCGCCGCTCACCGGCCTCACGAGCCCGTCCCGGGCCGGCGTGCTGTAACCGAGAGCGGATTTGTGGCATTCTGGGATGTGGACTCGAGCGAGTTGATTCAGTTTAGATCTAATCAGACTCGGAATCGGGTTCAGCAACAACAAATCGTGGACTCGGATTCACATTAAGTCTCAAGACATCAGGACTCGGACAATAACATGGGCTACTTGGTTCCAGAAGCCTTGGTCTCTGGTCGAATCTTCTATTTGAATTCAATTTCCAGACATAGGTTGAGGAAAAATTGGGTAATATCATGTTTATACAGCTGAAAATTCATAGAAGCATCACCAATGTGAAATATTAAAAAGCTTGTGGGACTAAAACTTAACGCAAACAACGGGATCAAAAGTAAGCAAATCAAGCAAAAAGCGTCCCCACTGGTAGCCACACGTACACCTACTACCCAGCATCACATGCGACAAAACAGATCAATGTTGTGAAAACGATGATCAAATTCGGCATATGGGCGCACACGACAGACTCGGCGTGCCTGCGGCCGGCGCCGTCAGAGCCGGCGGGCCGCGACCAGCCGGTGGCGCCGCCCAGCGGCGTCGTGGTGTGAATAAGAAAGGCGCCGGGAGAGAGAAGGAGACCACGTGTCAGGACGGCGACGGTCTTTAACAGACATGGGTCAGACCCACAGCAGAAGGCAGAGTTTCATTACGGCACCTTTTGAGTCGTGCTGGCTTGGGCGCGTCAGGTTTATCTCGGTTTGCTTTCGGTTGGATGCAGCTCAGTCCGCGACTTAATTTTCTGTTTTCTGTTGTTAATGTACGGTTCATTGCGTCGCTGGATGGCGGGAGGGGCACTCGTAGTTACCTGTTCTTGGGTAACGGTAAAGAAAATAAACAAGGTTGGATAGGACTAATTAGGTTTGGCTAAGGTACGCAAGATTCCAGTTTTCTAGGCAACTTATATTTTTATACGCTGTGAACGTGGCGTGAGCCTTCTTTTCATGGTATTAATATACCCCTCAACTTCGATACGCATTCCAGTGGTGACCCGGCGCGGCGGCACGTGAGGTGACGGTCCAGTCAAGGTATGATCAGAAAGGGTCGAGATTCGTTTACCTTATTGCAATTACACCCGAGGAGATTTCAGAATCTGACAGCTTGACATGAAGCTACCGTTATCTTGAGCGATCCCGTGACAAGCTATTGCACTTTGACTCTTACGTTTAAACTCAGACACGGACTCGGACTGAACATCGTACGACTCAAACTCGGACGCGGACGCATGAGCTCTGAAAATGATTGAACTCGCCCATAGATTCAAAAAAATGTGACAGATACGAACTAGGCTCTCGAGCCCGGCCCGAGGCTCGTAGCCAGGTCCTTGGACCCAGCCCAGACTCGTAGTCAGGTTACTGGTTTCGGCCCAGACTTGAAGTCAGTTTGCCGGACTCAGTCAGCTGCCTGACGCGGGCCGGCATCGGAGCCGTTTTTGCCGGCGGACCAGGAGAGCCGGCGGTGCACGTGCGGCCCGCTCCGGTGGCGACACCTGGTTTTTGCCGCTTGGTTGGCGGCTCGCCGCAGTCCAATTAGCGCGGTAATCGTGTTGGCATTAGGCGGAGCCCTACTGACAAAAAATGACGAGAGAGGGTGGCGAAGAGCGGTCGCGCTCAGCAGAAGTGCGGCGACGCCAGGTGCGTCATCACACAGAGTCCCAGCTGCCGTCGATTCATCACGCAGGCTCAGTACTGCTGAAGGATTAATCATAGAACACACTATTTATGGGTTGCTTAATGGGGGGGATCTCCAAGGGCTTCTAGTGCTGTTGCCATGTAGCGATCACGCTATCCGAATGTCGCCCAAGTCAGAGAGTAGGGAAACTGTCCATTACGTTCAAGAAGTATTTCTTTGAAGATATATGCAATCAGCTGCTAGATAAAGATGTTGGGATACGATCAGGTATGACCTGTGCATAACTAGATGTCAACTAAATACCCTGCTTAAGCATCTGACCTTAATAGAAATGTTGTTTGGTCCACGTATCTCAGAGTGTTCTAACAGGATGCATCTAGGATCAGTGGTCAGTGACGACGATTCTACTGGATACAAAAATAGTTGCGAAGTTTATCGACGCTATCAGCATTTCCACATCCAGCTTCATTCTCAGAGTTGCACATTACCCGCTTGAACAGTGAGCCGACATCTATGTGTGCGGCATGAACGTTTAGAGCACGTTCTCGTCTTTACCCGGGACGACAAATAATTATCCGACCAGGGGTGGCCGGCTGGCCAGCCGCGAGCTATAATAATCAGTGGTGGCCGGCTGGCCAGCCGCGAGCTATCCTGATCAGTGGTGGCTGGCTGGCCAGCCGCGAGCTATCCTGATCAGGAGTGGCCGGCTGACCAGCGGGCGGGCTCTCCTGATCGGTGGTGGCCGGCTGGCCAGCCGGAGACGCCTCAGCAGGGTCGGTCGCCGCCGGACCGGGTACCCCGTCAGCTCCCAGCCCGGGCATCTCTCAAGGACCGGGCCGGCGCTCCGGTCAGCAGCTGTCGCTCCGGTCAGCAGCTGGCGCTCCGGTCAGCAGCTGTCCACACCTGACGAGGCGGACCTATTCATTTGTCATTGCCAGATGTATTGACGCACCAGCTGGACGCGTCTATCTAAAGCGGCGACCGGCACGCCCGTCCGGTAAAGCCCGCCACGAGCCGGCGCTCGATGCAGGGGCTGGCGCGCTCCCCGGCGGCTGTGATTGGTTGGCACCGGCTCGCCGGAGGGCCCGGATAGCTGGCCATCAGATCCAGCCTCTCACACGGTTCACCGAGTCATGATTGTGCTGGGCCTCGTTAACAAGCAACGCGTCGGGACTTTGGAGCAGCCAACTGATCTCGATACCATTGCTGGGCTCATTAAAATCGGGGACGGAGTTTGACTGGCGCGTTGTTGACGACATGCTGACGCTGATAACAGACACGTGTGCTGCGGTCTGGGATAGAAGACTGAACCGCAGCGAAGTTCTCACATGAATAGGAGACGACAGAAACTCACTTATCTCTGCCCGTGACTGAAGTGCAACGTATAGCAAGCCAAGCAATTACTATGAATGAGAGAAAAGTACCCGATTTCGTATGAGTGCAACATCCACTTTGCAGCCCGCAGAGCCAACATCAGCAGCAGGAGGCAGCCTGCTTTTTCCTGCTGCTCTCAGCGCCGAGCCTCACGCCGGTGTACGCCCCGGCTGCAGCGTGCGCCACTTCCCGCCCGGCCCGGCGTCAGTGACCAATGACGGGTTCGTGACGACAGACCGAGCCGCAGATGGGAATCGACGATAGCCGGCGCCCCTGATGCGTGGTGGGCCGCGGCCCCGCCCCGCAGAGCTGACTCACCGACCCGGCTCCTCAAGCACGTCCCACGCCGCCGCCCGAGCCACGGGGAGCGGGCACGAGCAGCGACACGCGGAACGGACCGTGACCAGGCGTGTGCACAAAGAAACGGAGCGCGGCCGGGGTCAAGCGAAAACGGGCATCAGAGGAACACACGCGGGAACCGGACGTGACGCGGAACTGTAGGAATGAGGCATGACCAGCAGCACACAAGAGCGGTCATACCCTGACACTACAGGGGCGGAGCAGGAGCAACACAACAGAACACCATGAGCGGAGCAGGAGCCACAAAACAGAGCACCAGGAGCGGAGCAGGAGCCACGGAACAGAGCACCAGGAGCGGAGCAGAAGTCACAGAACAGAGCACCAGGAGCGGAGCAGGAGCCGCAGAATAAAGCACCAGGAGCGGAGTGGGAGCCACAGAACAGAGCACCAGGAGCGGAGCAGAAGCCACAGAACAGAGCACCAGGAACGGAGTAATAGCCACAGAACAGAGCACCAGGAGCGAACTGGGAGCCACAGAACACCACGCAACGAGACAGCGCCAAGGGACAAAATGTAACAGGACGACTCGGACATACAGGGACGGGGCGGGGTCAGAGGTCACGCCGGAGCGGCACAACGACCCGCTCACGTCCACGCCCCGACCGAGCACCGATCAGAGAACCAAGCGGCGTCACTCACCGGCCTTCATGTAGCTTTCGCGGCCCCAGGCGGCCAGCACGTGCAGCAGCAGGACGCCGTAGCTGAGCTGGAAGCCAGCGATCACCAGGTGGACGAGGAAGGCGCAGCCGCACACCACCCAGCCCCAGCCACCCTCCGGGTAGTAGTGTTGCCGGATGGTCGACGTCTTGGGGTCGTGCCGCCGCAGCCCAGGGATGCGCTTGTGTAGGCTGTTCATCTCGCGCTCGTTTATTCCCTGCGGGTGGTGGAAAGGTGAGTGGTGCGGAGGCTGCTGGGGGACCGGCAGGGCTGTCAGAAGGGAAGGCAGACGGCTTAGAGAGGCTGGCTGGGCCTAACGTGGTGGTCTACCCCTGTTGACGGAACAGTCAGGACGGCCAGGCGTAGCAGGTGGCGTTCCCAACCGTTGTACGGTCCAACGCCGGGGTGGTGTCAACGGCCAAGCGCTATAGCCAAATAGTCAGGGCCGGTTTCTGCATAGGAGTTCATTTACTTCCCGCGGAGCTGGGAATGTGTCGACCATCACTTCTGTCCCCGTGAGTCATCCTACAATATGTGCTGCATACGATAACACGACAAATAACACATGCCGTCATAGTACGTCTGCATGCTTCGCTGCAGCTATATATCATGTAAGTTTGAATCATATTATTTACGTCAGATCCCGATGCACGCAACAAGGTTACGTGCTATTTGCTGTTGCATGCTTTCTTGTGTGGCCACACAGTTATAAGAGATATATTACGCTATTGATACAAAGCTTTCTGCTGTGGATGACGGGCAACAAGTATGGCTAATCTACCATACTATTTACCTGGGTTAAAACATAGCTCGCCATTTGAATCTTGTTATGAGAGCTGTTTCATTAATATATGACAGGCTCTCAGATAATACGGGTGGCCGTCGCTAGTTGAAAAGGCAACGGAACCCCATGGCTTTATCAGGCACTTTCCTGCAATGGACTTTCCATTTGTGGTAAAATCTGCGACCAGGTGCAGGCGACGAGCGGAATATATTGTTTTATGCAATGTATTTCCGCTGGGTGTTTGCATACATAATAATTGGCTAGCCTGCAAGACAATATGCAGATTTGTTGCAGAAAGACGCCGCGATGCCTGCTGACACCCTAAACCCTCACGAAAGACCATCATGCATCACGGTCAGATAATGTAGGCATCAGTAGCAACGTAATTGATTAGTAATCGGAAAGTCAGTCAATTGATAGGTATATATGCCAGGCATGCGTTTATGAACACTTTTATCTCGAAACATGTGCTCACGGGGATGCACGTGAGTTGGTTCCATATGCGGCTAAAGCCAAAGCCAAGCCAAGCCAGAGCCAAAGCCAGCTAGGTGCAGGACAGCACCTGGAACAAACACATGCACCGTCTCCCATAAGTTGGCTATCTCACAGGTGATCCCATGGTGATTCGTCAGTGGAGCTATGAGCTACCGCTCTATATAGCTGCTTGGCACCTGTCCCTAAAAGTGCATGGTTAAGCAGTACCACAGATTTATGGTTGAGAGCGCAAAAGTAGTCGTTTTGCCTTAACACAGAGCAGCTTGATGTTCCTCATGGTCCCCGGATGCCTTCTTCAAGTCCAGGAAAAGGTGTCGCACGCTCTGCCTTAGTCGTCGCATTTCAGCATGCCGATGGCAAAGTCGCCAAAGATCGTGCCCGACAAGGCAGCCATTAGACGGTGCTTGTCAGCCGGTATGCGGGAAAATCGGACGGGTGGGTCACGCCACTTCGGAGCCACCACGAGCGAGCGAAGCGCGCACGTTAAAACAAGCCGGTGTGCGATTGGCGGGTATGCAATATATATATATATATATATATATATGTATATATATATATATATATATATATATATATATATATATATATATATATATATATATATATATATATGTACCCCTGGGCTTGAAGCTGAAAGCGGGTCATTCCGTCCCACCCCGCGGTGATGACGGCAGTCAGCAGCGGCTGCAGGAGCTGAAGTCGGCGAGCCCAGCTCGTGACAGCGGCGGTGTGCGCGCTGGGGAGTCTGACGGCGGCGGCCCCCCGCGCGTCTGGCGCCCCCTGACCGGCGCGGCGGACGAGCCGGTACGGCAGTGATGGATGGGCCTCGGCCGGACCGCCGCCGCTGGCGGGGCCACACTGCCGGCAGCCGCAAAGGCCGCCGCCGCGACGCCAGTGCATGCCGGGCACGCGGCCCATGCAGCTGTCTCTCGAGCACGAACGGGGCACGATTAGCTATTCCATGAGCCAGCGAGCCTCTGTGATGTCAAGCTCGTCGACTGAGTAGGGAATCCCGACGGTTTAATAGAGGCCTCGGGTGCCAGCCAAGGGCTGGATAATTGTGCAATGTAAATCAGTACACAACATCAATAACACATATATGCTAATTTATTCGACATCTGCCTTAATGTGCTTCACCATAGGTTTATAGAAATAACACCGATAATGGGTGATTTTCTCAGAAGCTCAAGTGGAATCATCAAACTTAAAAAGTTGTTGCAGCTCGCACGTCACGTTGTTGATGCCTGCCAGTGGGGGGGGGGGGGGGGGAGGGGGGGGGGCGTCGTACTTTTCATGCAAAAACGGCCGTCATATCCTCGCAACGCAAATCACAAGACTGTGTGAAAAGCCAGTGGCGAGACTGCTGAGAAGTCCGGCCATGCGCCATCCGTCAGCGCTGAGTTAGGTGAAGTTAGCTTCTCTAACAGCCCATCCTGCCATCTTGGGCACCAATTAAGGCATGATAGCGCAATGAAGCATGCCATCAAAGCTTATGGAATACCAATCAATGTATTGGTACACGAAGACTGTGTGGCCTGGTAAGAACTGCGGCGTGGTTTAAGACAGAAGATTTGTCTACCATACCAGAAAATGCCATCAGTTCGTTCCGTTTGCCTTCCCGTTCTCTTCCTCTGCTTGCATATTTTACGCACCTCTCTCCTTGTCCCCCCCTCTCTCTCTCTCTCTCTCTCTCTCCTTCCCGTGCCTCTCCCCTTTCTCTCTCTCATCCTCTCCTCTGTCCTCCTCCTCTCCCCTCTCACTCTCCCTATACTTCTCCGTCCCCTCCTCTCCATCCCTCTCCCTCGTTCCTATACCCTTCTATGCCGCTCCACCATCACTGACCTGGTAGGCTTCGAAGCCGACGCTGTCTTCGCTCGGCTCATCGTAACGTCCCCGCGGAGGTGTCCGGACCTCTGTAACGAGAGAGACGGCGTTCAGGGTCGGGCCGCACTCAGCGAGGAGGCCCCGAGGAGGATCTCAGCAGCTTCGACCTCGGGCCCCCGCCGTTGGCCTGGCGCGTCTGGGTAGGACCGCACTCAGCGTGGAGGCCTCGAGGAGGCTCCCAGCAGCTTCGACCTCGGGCCCCCGCCGTTGGCCTGGCGCGTCTGGGTGGGACCGCACTCAGCGTGGAGGCCCCGAGGAGGCTCCCAGCAGCTTCGACCTCGGGCCCCCCGCTGGCCTGACGCGTCTGGGTCGGACCGCTCTCAGTAAGGAGGCCCCGAGCGATACTGACGGTCCCAGCCAGGATCGATGAGGTGCACTGACTCAACAGGTGTTCATTAAGCCATAGCATGAGTCAAGCGGCACTACGTGGACTTGCTTGAATCGGACCAGATCAGGCCTGCTCAGGCCGGATCAGGCCTGCTCAGACCAGATCAGGCCTGCTCAGGCCGGATCAGGCCTGCTCAGGCCGGATCAGGTCTTGCTCTCTTGCTCTCAGATCTCTCTTGATCAGTTCTAATCAGAACAGGGCAGGGCCAAAGTTAAGGATAAGTGGTCAGGGGTCAGGGGTCAGGAGTCAGTGTCCAGCTCCGCTAGGCTGTGATGGCTCGACTGGACGGATCCCACCCTGTCAGCATGGGTCAAAACGTGTGAGCATGGGCCAGGCCATATCAGCATAGGCTAGGGCGTGTTTATATGGGTAAGGTCAGGTCAGTGAGGGTCAGATCGTGTCAGTGTGGGTCAGGCCGCGTGAGTATGGACGAGGCCGTGTCAGTAAGGGTTTTGCCGTGTCAGTATGGGTAAAGCCATGCCAGTACGGGTTAGATCGTGTCGACGTCGGTCAGGCCGTGTCAGTGCTAGTCAGGCTCCGTTAGGCACTAGAACTGGGATCTTGTAAAAGGCAAGTCCCCACCTCTTGACACAATCTTTCTGAAAGCATATGGCAGTCAAGTCAGTTTCCGACAGCGACTCGGTGCAGCCTCCATTACAAAGTGTCACCAACAGACTTTTCACTCTGCATCTCTTTCGCGAACGCGCCTCGAGTCATTTTGACTCTGTCTGGTCAAAATGCACTCGATTATTGATAATAAGCAAAAGATACAGCAGGTTTCAAATAGTGTTATTTTACCTCGATCTTGTTTACTGTCTAGGTTCTGATGAAAGCATTTAGCGTGTATTCGTGGCGCACCAAGAATGATCTGTTCTACGTGACGTCACGTGTAATCTTCGCCAGGCGCGTTCGCAGCGCAACCCGTTTTTTGTTTTTGTTTTTTTGTCTGTATCTTCGTAACTGTCGTGCCAATAACTGTGCAAAGACACAACATTTCCGTTTGTAGGTACTTTGAGCGCTTCTAAGAATTGATCTGCAAATCTGCTCTTTGCAACGTTGTGAACACCTTTACATCAGTCGTGGTCGGTCCTGGGCAGGCAATATTGATTTGGGCATCAACTTGTTTATAATTGAATGTGTTGCGCCATTTCTGTCTCACTCCCATCGAGTCACATCAAAATATTCTGCTCGTCCTGTAAAGACTACGTGACGTCGCATCGAATCCTTGTCGTCCGGGTCGCCGCGAACTCCAAACGGCGCAGAATCTATGGGGTATGACGTCACGAGTGACTGTGAGGTATAGATTTTGCGTCGTTCGGGCCGCTGCGAACACGCCCTTAGTGATTGCTGAGAAATAATTACTTTCCCGACAGGAGCACATCTGGCGCAGCATGAAGCTGGAGTCTGTGCACCTCTGGACGTCACGGTTCGGTGCAGGACAAGTGGCACCAAGTGTGTCAAGTCCACGAGCCCCGCGAGCGCCCGGCCCGCTCCAGTCGGGCCACGGGAGGCGGTGCATTTCACTGGCGGCCGGAGCGATTTACGGCAGCTGACCGGCGCCTGACGCCGTGCGCTGATGAGATTTACAATGACAGCGGGACATGGGCTTGAGCCAAGGCGGTGATTGGTCGGTCGGTGGCGGTGTTTGACTCCAACCGTGGGATCGCATCTTATCACGCGGAACCCTGCGGCGTGACAACACGAGAATTTATGTCCGTGAATATAGATCCCTTCATCAGTGGATGTGTGATTATCAGGCAGCACGGCAAATCATGCCAGTGGCCCTGACCATACGGCATGGACACCGAACTGGGTCATGCTTTAACGGGACCGATTACACCACGACGGTGCAGAAGTCCATGAAATGCAAATGGACCGTTCCGGCAGTCCAAGAAGACGCATTTTTCATGGGGAAGCCTATTCTGAAACGGCGGCAACCTATGCATCGAAGACCAACGCGCTCTGCCATTTCCTAGATTATTCACGACCCAAGAGATCATGAATATCAGCCCAAGCTCCGCGGAAGGGCTACCCAAGCTCCGCGAAAGGGCCCCAGCCAACGGCGGCGGAATGTCCGTCGGCAAAACTGGACCTGGCACAGCATAGCAAACTATTGCTCTCCATCTCGCAAGGAAGCCACGCCTTTTCTAAGTGATCACCAAAAACTGTTGTGGTTTCCCCATTAGACGCGGCGTTTAAGGTGGGCTGAGGAAGAGAGCTTGGTGCGGCTCCGCCTAACGTCGACATGCATGCAGGGGTGCCGGTAGGCGTTAACCACTGCGCGTCTGGAAACCGGAGGTACGGGGTTCGGTTCCCCGCGGTGCCCGTCCTTCCTGCCAGGGTGAGAGGCAGGAGACGTCATAAAGCCTCAGCAGCTGAGTGCGTCGTAGAGCCCCAATGACGCACACAACGTCGGCGTGCATTTACTTGGACCGCATATTGACTATGGTGTGGCATTGAGAGAAACCATTTTCAGACAGCGGCCCCGACTGGCCAGAGAGGTTCGTCGCCGTGGCTGATTGCCTTCCTTCCGCCCGTCCTGAGCTCGTTTCCGGGAGGCTCGGCTCTGGCTCTGGCTCTGGCTCTGGCTCTGGCTCTGGCTCTGGCTCTGGCTCTGGCTCTGGCTCTGGCTCTGGCTCTGGCTCTGGCTCTGGCTCCGGCTCCGGCTCTGGTGCTGGCTCTGGTGCTGCTCTGGCTCTGGCTCTGGCTCTGGCTCCGGCTCCGGCTCTGGTGCTGGCTCTGGCCCCGGCTCTGGCGCTGGCTCTGGCTCCAGCCCTGGCGCTGGCTCTGGCTCTGGGTCCGGCCCTGGCTCTGGCTCTGGCCCCGACACTGGCTCGGGTTTAGTCTGTGCTCGGGTCAGGCCGGTCCGATCGTGCCACACGCCACACCGCTGACGGCCGCCGCAGGAACGGACGGTCACGGCGCCGACGAGAGCCGGCCGGCGTGGTCTGAGGCGCCGCCAGCGCTCTCCGCTCCTGGGCTGTCGCCACGGTGACGCCTAACTCGGCCGGGGTCGCTGGCAGCAGAGGACACTAGAGCGGTGCCGCCGATGCCGCCGCGTCCCTGAGCCTCGGCGACGGCTCCTGTGGACGCCGGCCGGCAGCCGCCGGTGCCAGTGCCCCTCCCCGCAGAGGCGACAGGCGTCAGTGGGGCGTTCGGCGTGATCGGGCCGGCGCGCCCGACTGGTCCCGCCAGCGAGACCCGCTCCGCCCCGCCGCCGCATCTCCACGGCTGGCGCCGCTTCGCTGTGTTAACATGCGGAAAACGTCACGCGACTGTGATCGATTCTGATTGATCCCAGCGGCTGACGTGACGGCATAGGCTCGTATCAGTGTGCTTTAACAAAATATGCAGACGCCGGCACCCGGGCGTCTCGCGACACTACAAATACACGGGCTGTAGAGTCTGCCGGAGGACGCGCGTGATCGAAGTCAAACCACAGCTAAGTGCGTGCTTACCGTGTGCGAATCAGAGGCGTGGATTGAACTTAAGCATCTTGGTGCCTCTAACCTGCACGACAGGAGGTTATCACAAACAACAGAGTTTGCCGTGGCACATTTCCGTATAATTTATCGCCTGAGATGCAATACGACGAATCCATTGAGAACGTGTGTAAATTGGTGCTTAGAAATGTCTGTAAGATGACATTACTATCAGAGACATTCGAAAAGCATTGCAGTGCTTCAGTAAGCATGGACAGGAAAACTGGAATCTCCCAAGAAATGGGGGTCCTCAAAACGGAACAAACAAATACCATATGAAGCACTTATCTAGCACACAACCCCTATGGAGTTCTACCGCAAACCGGAAGTCCTTGCAAGCACTGCAGAGGCTACATAAGGACATCTCCACCCGAGTGCCGCATAACTTTCCCAAGAATTCCGAAGGCAGCGGCTTTCACGGTGTCCACGATTCTCTCCGACCGCCTCGGCCAGGGAATACAGATAACGCAGTGACACAGTCCGTTAAACCTCCCCTCTCTGATTGTCATCAACTGCTAATCTCACCCGGCACCCAGCAAATTGGGTGACTGAGCGCTATTTGGGCAGAAGTATCATCCATCAGCACCACACAAGAGAGCCGGCGGCTCCGAACTCCTCAACTTTGAACAACCTGGTAACATCCGGCCAGTGCAGTGTGTCCATCCGAGCCCACCGGCGTCGCCGGGCCGTCTCCGTCGTCAGCCTGGTCAGCCGTCACCCGCTACTGGCCCTCAGCCGGGGGTGCCGACATCGCTGCCCGCGCCCCGTCTCGCGGGCCACCGCCCGGCCCGCCCGTCCCGTCCCGCGAGCACCGCCCGGCCCGTCCGTCCCGTCCCGCGAGCACCGCCCGGCCCGTCCTGTCCGTCCCGCGAGCACCGGCCCGGCCCGTCCGTCCCGTCCCGCGGGCCACCGGCCCGGTCCGTCCGCCCCGTCCCGAGAGCACCGCCCGGCCCCTCCGTCCCGTCCCGCGAGCACCGGCCCGGCCCGCCCGTCCCGTCCCGCGAGCACCGGCCCGGCCCGTCCGTCCCGTCCCGCGAGCACCGGCCCGGCCCGTCCGTCCCGTCCCGCGGGCACCGGCCCGGTCCGTCCGCCCCGTCCCGAGAGCACCGCCCGGCCCGTCCGTCCCGTCCCGCGAGCACCGGCCCGGCCCGCCCGTCCC